TAGAGCAATTGAGCACTGTGAGTAAGTGACATAAAGTCTGCTTAAACATCTTGTGATATTTCCTGAATTTTGCTTGATAACTACAGCCAGCATCAGGCATTGCTGGCAGTCTTTTTCTAGAAGCATGTTAACCTCTTATTTTCTGTTCTGTTCTAGTTTCTCCATTTCTTTTGTAGATTCAGGAAGGTGTGGGAGAGCTACTGTTGTTAGTCACCAAGGCGATCGAAAGTCCTTGTGCTCTTTATAGGCTGGTGAACCTCTATAACCGTGTTCTTCCCAGGCACATTACTCTGTCGTAGTGCCCTGGGAGCAGCTTGCCCTGTGCAGCCCAAGAACTGCCGTGGTGGGGTTTGCAGTTTACGTTTCTGCCTCTCTGGTCTCGGTGACCTGAAGAAATACTTGAAGGACATAAACCACCATGTAGAGGGGTTGGTAACATGCTGTTTTTCTTGCAGCAAACCTCTGTCTAACCCACTCTGCTGTGGAGTTTTAAATTTATACCTAGTTTTCACTGGACACAGTTTTATTTAATTTTCAATAGCTCTTTTCAACCTTACTGTACATTAACACACTCAGATTAGGTGTCATCTTGACATGTTCAGATCAAATAAATGCTCAAAAGGAAATAGAAGATCATGAGTAAAAAAAATAGTTTTACAGATAAAAATTGTGGTATAGAGCTCTGTAACAAACACTACTTAACAACTTACTGAATTTGGAATCTTGACAGGAAAAGAATGAGTAAATCTTGAGGAAAAGTGATCAAGTACAAAATGCTATGTACTTATAACACGATTTAATACATAATTTATAAGGAGGTAAGATTCATACAGATTTCAGATAGCAGGGATGCTGCTCAGCACTTGCAGAAATTCAGGAAACAAACTCTGTACTGCTAAATTAAGATCACATGCTTGCAACACACACTCAGAGGAGTTACTGCCGTGGGCGATTAGTCCTTGGGTTTCTTTTTTTTTTTCCCTTGTTGGTTTTGTTTTTGTTTAGAACCACAAGAACCCTTTTCTACAGAGGTCATTATCATGACTATACAGTTAGGAAATTACAGTTCCCACTGCAACTGTAACTCAAGTATGATTATGTGTGTGTGTTTTGTGTGTGAGTGCAAGGCTATTCATGGATAAATTTATATGACAGATATTGCAGCCATTTACAGTAAGAGAAAAAAACACAGGGAAACACAGAGCACACTGATACTGTTTCTGTGGGACTCTGACTTTGAATTATACGCGCGTGCACGTCATATAACATTACACTAACCTAAGCTCTGGCATTGAGCGATACATATCACGGCCAAAACAAGCCATTTTAAGCTGTGTCAGTGCCGGGTTCATACTGGCTTCCTCCTACGTTTTTTCTCCTGGTTATAAATACACCTCACGAGTTAAACACTCGCTGTGAGAAAACCCTGCAAAGAGCCTGTTAAATTGCATTAGCCTAATGAGTTTTGCAGCGTGGTGGGCAGAGAGCGGCGTGACCTCCCGTGGAAGCGGTGGGAGGCGAGGGCTGGTTTGGGGAGCCCCGTTTCGGGTGGCTGGCAAGGGGTTAAGGCGTGTTTGCCTTGTGCAGATAGCAGAGCGGTTGGATGCCTCCCTGTGCAGGCAGCAAAAGCATTGGCTGAGGTTGAGGGCGGTTCTCCTGCCGCAGTTGTTTTTGTCCTGGACTCCATTGGATCTGGAGCCTGCTAATTGCCTTGTTTGTAATCAAAATACAGCTTGTGTAATTCATGAAAAAGGACCTGACGGCGCAAGGCGAGTTTGCTCCTTGTCGCTGGCTCGTCCCGTGGTCAAGAGGAGCGGCTTGCACGGGACGTGGCTGGTGGCCCCGACCAGCCGAGAGGACCCGTGGTGGCCCGGGCTGCCTCTGCTGACCCACATGGTCACACTGCTGGGGCTTGTTATTGCACGGTAGAAAGATCATGTCAATTCATGACAAATCGGTCCCAAACCATGTGGGAACATCTGTCCCTGTACGGTATATATGCAGCATCTTGACGTTCATACATGTGGGTTAGAATTTCCTCTTAATGAACCGTGTAGCTCTTATCATACCCACACCACTGTCCGTTGGAATCCTCAGTTTAGCTCTCCCAGGACATTGCTATTTCAACCCATCCAGTGGCAGAGGATCCCAAAGGAACAGCAAAAACTTATTCTGAGTGATTTTTACCCTTCATTTTTTTCCTCTTTTTCTGGCAATTCACTGCTGTTGTTGTGTTATCAGAAAGCAAGAAGCAAGACCTAACACAAATGTTTTTGATCATACTTCAGTGTTCAGACAAACTGTGTTTATTAGCTGAACAGCTTAATACTTAATCGACTTGCCTGTTAAATATGTATCTCCTGGTTACCTGTGTTGGCTCAGGAATATGTTTACAGTATCAGTGTGTTTTGTTTTCACCTGAAGCACAGGGAAGTGGTGAAACGACAGGAGTGATCCACAGGGGTAGAAATTCCTTTGCGCTGACTTTGCTGCCTTTTGTCCCCCCCAGCTGGGCCTCAGCAGCATGAAGAAATGTCAGTTTGAATCTATAATCAGAAAGGTTTGTAAAATGCATTGTTTCCTAAGTCTTTGGAGCCACTCTAGCTAGCTAGTTAAATATTTATTCACCCCTGGAACAACAGGTTTGAACCTCTCTGTCGGCTCTGTTTCTCCCCCATCCAGGGCAGATTAGTTGAGCGTTACGCTGTTTGTCATCTTTGGGATCAGGGATTATAAAAGTCCTGTTCTTAAAGACTTGATGAAGAGGTTTCGTGGCTGTGATGAGCAGCTTTGCTTTGATGCCAGTGCTGAAGTGCTTTTTCCTGCTGCAGCTTTTGTAGTGCAGTGTGGTCGCTTCTGCCCCTACCCCAAAATAGCTGTTCCCTTGTCTCTAGCTAGGATTTCTGAAATTCCCTTTTGACTTTCTCTTCTGTGAGGAATGAAGAGAGCTGACTTTTTTCCCCTATGCTGAAAGGGAGGCACAGCATTGTCCAAAAGTCCTATTATTAATGCATCAACCAGCATTAACCAGAGGCTGGGGCTGTGTAGATGCAATTTCTGAGCATACCCTGCGCCGCCTCAGCTTGTGCCGGACCGTGCCACAGCTCCCAAAAGTGGGATCTCATTGCAAAGAGGCGAGTCTACACGGGCCAGTGACAATACTGGAGTCTGCAGGCCTTGATGACGAAGGGGTAATGAGGTGCACTTGGTCAGCACAAACCTATTCAGTGTTGTCCTGCAATGAAAGCATAACATGGCAGCAAAAAAAAAAAAAAAAAAAAAACAAAGCAAAAAAAAACAAACCCAAAACAACAACAACAAATCTGACCTGTCCAGAGTCCCATAACCTGGATGCTGTAGTAATAGTTATAAGAAGCAATAGTGAAGAAACGCTGGAGGGGTTTCTATGTGACTTTCAGGTGCTTTCTAGCATGCAGAGTTTGAGAATGTCAAAACTACATCAATTCAGGATCTTGTGTAATGAGAATTTGCACAAAATAGTGATTGACAGTTTCTGATCTTGAATGCTTAATGGAAAAATAGATGTTGCCTTGGCTGCTTTGCCTTCTTCAAGCTGTCTTTTAGACATCAAAAGCTCGTAGAACAGGAAAAAGAGAAACGTTAAGAGCAGTTTAAAAATAGTTTAATTGTATCTTCTAAAAACCTTTAGAGTTGAGAATTTAAACCGTTTTTGCCCTGTGAATATTTGCAGCTGAGTTCAAAATATGTAAATAAGCATAGGACTTTGAAGATTAGTTTCCATAACAAATAAAAAAACCATAGTGTGGCATAACGTTAAATAGGTGCCATGTGTCACTGGGTGTTTAGCACAAGGGCCAACTTTTCCACATTACCTGTCTGCTCCACCGACTCCTTGAGAAACAAATGTTGTCCTTCGAATGTTTTAGGCTTTGCAGTTCTTAAGCATGAAGCAGACCCAGGAAAACGCCCTTTTGCAGGAGGCGCCGGTGATGAACACTGCGACGCGTGCTGCCAGCGTTCCCCCTCCAGCCTGCACAAACCGTTCCTGCGTGCGTTCGCTGTAGCAGCTACTAACCCCGCGTCAGGGAGCGGGCTGCTGCAGCGGGCGCTGGGACTAGCACGTGCAGAAGTCCTTGCAAGACATCGGTGTGTCAGTGCTCACTTAGGAACATGGGGAGGTGTGTGAGAAATAGCCCAGACTTACCCCCCTCCTCCCTGTAAACCTTGAGATTTTAGACTGGAATTAGTAAGCTTGATAGTGTTTTGGACTTAATTCTGGAATTTTCTGTCTTGTGTTTTTCTGTTGCCAATAGTTCTAATAAACTGCACCCGTGACATCTGTTGCTAGACTGTGCTCCATCTGTGGCCTGGTAAAGAATGTATAATGCTTTTAAAACAAGCTTCTCATTTTGTATTTAGTCCAATACAAGATATCATCTGCAAGTTGCTTCTATTTGGCTGTTACATTTCAATCAGTTACTGTTTGTGGCAGGTTCACAAAATCAGACCCGTTGTTAGAAAAAGGCAAAAAGTTGGTCAGTGTGAAAGAAAATTAATTTGAAATACACTCCTGTGTTTCTTGTTAGTGGATGAATCTTGAGGGAGGCACAGAGAAAATACCTGCAGTGAATGACTGACATGGAAGCAGTAAGATATTTGAGATTAAATTGACCTTGTGATAGAATTATCCATTTCACATTTCTTCAAAGGATTTATCAGGCTGGAAGAAACGAAAGGTTGCTCCTCTTTACTATCCTGTCTACTGCAGTTACTGCTGCATATTCCAAGAATGGCATTAACTGCTTTAACACGCTTAATTCTGCAGTCCTTTAGCATGGGGCAGAGGAAGATTTTCTTCCTAGCCACAGCTGGGGATTTGATGATCAAAATATCGGTAGCATGCTGTACTATGGATCCTACACACTGTTTATTAGTTAAATAAAACTGAACCATGTTCCTCTGTTGGTCTGCTCACACATGCTAGCCAGAAATGAAAAATAACATTTTAGCCCCTGAACATGGGTGAGTTTAGGACCTCTCCAAATAAAGCCCCTCCTGCTTCAGCGCTGAATATTGGATAGAAAGCTTGGGAAATTTGGAGGCAGATGGTGTTAATTAGGTGTGAAGTTACTTGGTCTGGCCAGCGCAGATCACAGGAGGACTTACCTCTGTCTTCCTTCACCGCGGGCGCTTAGGCAGGACAGCAGAATCCCTTCAGATGTGCCTTCAACCAAAACTCTCCTGTTTGGCGAGGTGAAGGTGATGGCTTGACCTGAGTCTTGGCAATTCACAGCTGTAGCCCAAAGGCTGTATTGTCACATCATACGGATAAATCCAGGCCCATGTCCCCTGTCCCTCATCTAAGTTCTTCCTCCTGCTGTTTAAACAGCTGTGTCAAAAACGTACTTGGCTTTGGTGCTCACTCTTGTAGTGGTGATTTCAGCTTTAGTACATCTTTTCTGATTTGAAGTTCTGTGGCATGTTCTGCGTTTAATTGGTTCAGCCTCATTTGAACCATTAATACTGAGCATGAAGGTGCGGAGGGGCAGGACTCCTTCCCTTCAGAGCTTCTCTGGGTTTTCTCAGCCTCCCCTCCAGCTCCTTGCTCGGCGTTAGTCATGCTGTTTGCCCTGAGCTATGCTGCTCCATGGTTTCTATTTCAAAGCCCAAACCGCTCATTAAAAGTATTGTGAGGCACTAAGTAATGGGTAATTAAAGAGTAAACCATAAAAACCTCAAGCAATAACACTTGTGGGTGCCCTCCTTTTTGGACTTGCAGGGAGAGTCACCAGAGAGCTTGTGCTGGATGCCAGGGCAGCAGGCTTCCTCAGGAAAACTGGTGACAGGTTCATAGACAGATAGGAAGCAAATCCTGTTAAAGCTAAAGGGTTATGTAAAGGTGTTGTTCGAAGTGTGTTATTTGAAGCATTAGTGTGGGAAACCTAGTTTTTAAGCTAAGAAACTGGAATCTTGTGGCTGAAGCTGGCTATCCCAGGCTGGGAAGCTCTGGCTGTACAGTCCCATCACTTCTGGGCTTCAGAAATAATGTTGGGGTCACCAAAGCTGTCCTGGGAGCCCCGTAGTACTGGACCAAGGGGAGAGGAAAACTTGGTTTTCTCTTTTGAAGATGAGCATTAGTGAATTGTGAGGGTGAGTGATAACACGCTTCAAAAATGTTATTAAAATTTGGAATTTACACTGAAGAGTGGAGGTGAGGCAGATGTCTGGGCTTCATTGTTGCCTCTTTGAAAAGAAAGTTGCCAAGCCAAGCAGGATGAAGTGTCGTTGCTCGTAAGCCTTTCACAGTCATACATCACCGGGTTATCCTGTGGTACTCAGTTGCCTTTTATCTTTTCTCTTCACAGTTTGTCCACCTGCCTGCAAGTCCCAAGGCTGCACCTCTGATGGTCAGTGCTGTCACAGCGAATGTCTCGGGGACTGCACGGAGCCGAACAACCCTGAAAAGTGTGTGGCTTGCCGCAACTTCTACCTTGAAGGGAAATGCGTGGACACCTGCCCCCCTGGTTACTATCGCTTTGAGGGGTGGCGTTGTGTGACCTTCAGCTTCTGCCAGGAACTGCACAACAAATGCAAAAACGCCAGGGAGTCGGGGTGTCACGTTATCCACAATAACGAATGTGTTCATGAATGCCCGTCAGGGTACATCATGAATTCTAGCAAGTAAGTACAAGCGTCTGCAGGTAAAGAAATGATGCTGTAGTTTTTGTACTGTGCTTTTCTCTCTCTTGGACAGAGGGTTTGTATCTTGTGGCAAGACCAAGAAAAGTTTCCAGCCTTGGAGTGTCTGTGACAATTACCTGGTCTACTCTAATATGAGTTGCAAACTAACACCTTGCTAATTCAAGCCATTAAAAGCAGGCAGGTCTTCCTACCATGTGCCAGTAGTTTATTCTTCCCTTGTTTCCTCTCAGGTTTGGAAAAAGTGGGAAAAGGGAATTGAGAGGGAGGACAAGGAAGAGGAGAATCCTCAGGTTAGAAGGGACATTCTGTAATCGAGGGGGACAAGGGAGATGAGCAGTGGAGAGGCTTTAGTAGCCCTGCTTCCCTTCCCCCCCAGGAGCAGACTTCAGACTAGAAAGCCTTGCTATTAAGCAGAGTAGGAATAAGTCATGTCTAATGAAAAGAGGATAGCGTATTTTGAGTGGATCATTCTCAGAATATCTGTCCCTCGTCCCTGTAATTACTTTCATTGAGCAGGTTCAAGCTGTGCCAGACATAAATGGACGATGTAACAAACAAGGGTAGCATGAATCAAAGCAGGGAACAGCCATTCTGCCTATTCCCAGGGGTTTTCAACAAATGAATTAATTAATGTTGCTGAGCTGTTTATCACTGAAAACTTTGTTGTTTGTCCCACAGTAACATTATATATTGTGATGAGTCAGATTTCCTATGAATATTGGTAGCTTTGTGCTCGCATGTATTTACTCCTGCCACAATAATTTCGGGGAATTCACTCTAACAGGACTTTTTATTCCATTTCCTGTTTTGCTTTTCAATAGAATGAACTAGCAAACCCCAAAGTAGATATGCTGTTTGTGTAATAGCAGCCATCGCCTCTCTCCTGCGCTTGTTCCAGGCTGCTGTCAGTAGGACCTCACAGCACTACTCTCTGCTTTTCCTAGAGCATTTATTTCCCTGAACCAGTTGGGAACACATTCTTGTGGTGTTATGACCAGGGCAAGCAATCATCTTGCTGCCATTTAAGACGTATTTCCCCAGAGCACAAAGCACGTGCTTGCTTGCCTTTTTTCAAAGCAACTTTATGTACAGTCCTTAATCAGAGGATTCCCAGATGAACGGCCAGCTCTCCACTCATCAATTACATGTTTGGTTAACGATCTTGGGATGGAGACTGGGCCTGGGTTTCTTGATCTTGAAACCCCTGGTATGTATAATGCTGAGCGACACTGGTGGATGGGCTATTCAAAACAGTCAAAATCATTTCATCCTGGTTTCTGTTACATAGGGAGGGACAGAGCGATTAGTGTTCAAAATGTGGAAATGACAATTTACTGAATTATCAGCAGTTATTTGGAGTTCCTAAGAGCCATGTGCTGTGCAGTGCAAGCGAATCCCATGACATATTGTCCGGACACTGTCGCTTTGAATTGATTACTCTGCTTTTGAGAATTGCTGGGACACCCCAGATGACATTCGGCAAAAGCATCACATCTACATTCCTGACTCTCTTGTTTTCCAGCTTGCACTGTACACCCTGCGCAGGGCCCTGTCCAAAGGTTTGCGACTACGGGAAAGAGAAGACGATCGATTCGGTGACATCGGCACAGGAGCTCCGTGGCTGCACAGTTGTTAATGGAAGCTTAGTTATAAATATCCGTGGAGGAAGTAAGTTCTGCATGAGTAAGGGGGTAGGGAGCACTGGATGTCAGATCAGTAAATATGACACCATCTGTGAGCTGGGGCATTTCTCTTTTGCTTTGACCACTCTGAATCTTAGAGTGATCCGGAAAAATAACCACAAAACAAAGGCTCTTGTGATGTTCACTTGAGGTTTTTGGCTAACTGATTTTTGTAAGGTCTTATAAATTAATGTAAAGCAGTTCTATTTAGTATGTTTGGGCTCCGATATCAGTGTTTTTGTCTGTGATATCAGAAAACTAAACCCAATGTTTTCCTCTCCATAGATAACATAGCAGCTGAACTAGAAGCAAATCTTGGCTTGATAGAAGAAATCTCTGGTTACCTAAAAATTCGCCGGTCTTATGCCTTGGTTTCTCTTTCTTTTTTTCGTAAACTACATCTGATTAGAGGAGAAACACTAGAAGCTGGGTGAGTTATTTCAAAAGATACTTTATTTTAATGCTTTGAAGTGTAAGGAGTGCCAGTGCTATCAGGGTGATTTGTATTGGTAAACAATTCCTAAGTTATTTTTAAATGTTCCTCTGCCCATGGCTTGTGGCCTACCAGGGAAGATAGTTTGCATTAATTTTTCTTTGGTGTCAGGAGTAGTACATGAGAAAAAAGGAGTTTTCAGTATATCCTTTCCCAATCCACATTTTCATCTCTGCTTTCAGGAATTACTCATTTTATGCCTTGGACAACCAGAATCTTCGCCAGCTCTGGGACTGGAGTAAGCACAACCTCACTATTGCACGAGGCAAACTCTTCTTCCATTATAATCCCAAACTCTGTCTGTCAGAAATCCACAAGATGGAGGAGATCTCTGGGACTAAGGGGCGTCAGGAAAGGAATGACATAGCCCTGAAGACGAACGGTGATCAAGCCTCATGTAAGAAAGTCACAGCACACAGCGAGACTCGCATCGTTTTCCTTTCCCTCTGCCTTGCTAACATATTCTTATTTCTCTCAGCCTAGCTTACAAGGTTTTTTCCAGAGACTGTCCTTGTCCTTTTAGTAAAGCACCACACATGTGACTTGCTGCCTGCTTGTGCACTGCAGCAACACTGTCAGTATGCCATGAGTAAAAGTACTTATGGGTTCTCCATCTGGCCAGGAGCCTACCCTGCCAACTTTGGTGTTCAGAAGTTTGTTCTCTGTGTGCTCAGCTGTGAGTTTTTCAGGGTTGAGTGTATTGTTGTGTCTTTTTGAAAAGTTTAGCACAACATAACCTCAGTCCAGACTGGCACTTTGTGTTACTGCTGAGTACCTGATTAATAGTCATAATCTTCTTTTCCCATGTCATGAGGCGACAGTATGCACACAGAATAAACATAGTAGAGAAACAGGATTTCCACCCATCTCTGGAGCCATGTGAGGGAATTGCTATGACAACAGTCAGTAGTTTTTCCAACAATTTTTGTTATGCTTCTCAGAGGGTTTTAAGCTAACAGAACAACTATAAGATGGTACCTATGTCAGCATGGCTAAGGAGCAAACATACAGTGTTGCTTTATGCTCTGACTAAATTCATGCTACTGTAGATGTAGTTTTGCAGTCACTATTTTGGCAGCGATACTTAAGTGCATCCCTTCTGCACCCCCAACCCTGCTGTTTGTTCCTATTCTGTGCCACACACAATCCCCTTTTCCTGTTTGTGCCGGTAAAAGTCTTACAGGGCCGCATGGTGAACCAGACTGTTGAAGTAATACGGGGTAAAAAATAGTAAGCCGTTCCTCCTTTGTTCTTAGGTTGTGTCATCTCTCTGCTCTGATTTATCATCTAGCCCCACCAAGTTTTATGTGCACACAGAGGTTGACACATCAGATGCTTAAACAGCTTTTGCCACCGAAACTCTCAGCATTAATTAAACTGTGATTTCAGCCCCTTGCGTTTCAGTTCCTTGCTCTTTTCACAGCTTGCAGTGCAGGTTAGATCATCTGTGGCTGCAACTGTTTCTCTGCATTTGATGACAGCTCTGCTTAAGCAGTCCCTTCCCCAGTTCTGCCCTTGTTATGCTGATGTAGCTATTTGTGAACAGACTTAAAAATTAAGATACTTCAGCTGAATCAGTTTCCTGATCTGGTTTGCCACGTATCAACATATGCAGCCACGCCAGCACAGTGGGGAGAAGGGAACGTAATGACTACCTACGTAAAAACTGGCAGTACCAGTGAAAAAACCTGCACAGAGCCATACCCTCAGGGATATCACAGCTCTAGCCTGGGCAGAGAAGGAGGTACAAGGAATTAGCTACCTGTAAAGGTCCTCTCCTCCCCTGAGACACAAACAAGCTCTTCCCACATTTGGGGCTGAACCTGGATTTGGGGTTCAAACCCAGCTCTGTCATGTGGTTGTGTGCAGCTCCCGGGCTGGCTGGTTGTTTTGTTTAAAAGCAGCTGGAGGAGACAGTTGCATTTCTCTTTGTCAGCTTTAGCTTCACTCTGCTGAGCTGTTCCCTGTGCCACCCCTTCCACCTCAAACCACAAGTTGCCAGTGTGTTTGGCTTTTTGTTTGTTTTTAAGTTTCAAGTCTAGTTTTCACATTGGCAGCACCCTGTTTACCAAAAAAACCCCACAACAAAAAAAAACCTTGTTTGTTCTGGATGTGGTGCCAGTGAGATGAATGTTCTTCCTCCATTGTGCAGCTACTGCAGGAATGGTAAATCCAATCAGAGCTACACAGTTTGTCCCTCTTGGGCTGCTTGGACAGACCATATTGTAACGTGTCCCTTGAGCCTCAAAACTCCACCCTCCTCCAGCTGTTTGTTTTCCTTCCCTCCTGTTTGCAATGGGACCACGCTACTCCCAGGCAAGGCAGGGAATTCACACACTTACTTTTTGTAGCCTCTGCTTTCTATGCAAACCATATTACTGGGTTCAGCTGTGTAGATCATCATGAATTTTAAAATACATTGCTGTTAGATTTCACGCTTATTAGAAATTAGCTCAGCTGTTCTACAGGGTCATTTTCATAAAATCATAGAAAAATTTAAGCTGGCAGGAGCCTTGGGAGGTCATCTTTTCCGACCCCTGGCTTAAGGCAGGAATAGCATTGAAGTAACATAAGGCTCTAATGAGCAGCCCTTCTCAATGCCAATATTCTCATATTTATCTGTAGAGAAAATAAACTTCTAACATAATTTCAAATAGCAACCCTTATTTTTTAGCATTAATGAAACTATTGTCGCTTTTGTTACAGGTGAAAATGAATTGCTGAAATTTTCTTCCATTAGAACATCTCATGACAAGATCCTGTTGAAGTGGGAGCCATACTGGCCTCCTGATTTCCGTGATCTCCTGGGATTTATGCTTTTTTACAAAGAAGCGTAAGTGATCCACTCTTAAGTTACAAATAATAGCCATGCTGGACTTCCACAAACAGCATTTGGTGTTGAAGAGTAGATATTAAACCTGCTGTAGGCATAGCTACTTAGGCTCTGTGGTTGTCTGTCTTCTACACATAAGTTTCTGGTGTTATCCTTATATAAAAGTGTTCGTTAAGATTCCTGACTTACCTGAGTTGTGTACAGGCAAAATTCCTCATTTAAGAGCAATCCAAACGTGAGTTGTTCAGGCTATTCTAAGCGTTCGTACTCTAACCACGGAGCTTATCATCTCCCCACTATCTCCATGGGATGTTGAGGTTTTTATTCCCTTTGAGGTGGGAAACATTCTTTTAGAAAATAATTAGCCTGGATATAGTTGTTGGGATCATCTGTGGAACAGTATGTGATCTGTGATGCTGTTAGGAGACTGGGTTGCAAAGCTCCCTATAGTTCATTTTCAGAATAAGTACAATGAGATAGTTATGCTTTCTCCAAAGGGTAAAGGATTATAACTTCCAGTGATGGCTTTAGAAACACTGTTTTTAGAAGCTTGAATTAGGATTCTGTTAAATTGAGGATTTTCTTTTTTTTTTCTAAAGTCCATACCAGAATGTGACGGAGTTTGATGGCCAAGATGCTTGTGGGTCAAACAGCTGGACAGTTGTGGATGTTGACCCACCCCCACGGTCAAATGAGCCCAAAGCTCAGGCCCAGCCAGGTTGGCTTCTGAGGGGCTTGAAGCCATGGACACAGTATGCTGTATTTGTTAAAACTCTGGTCACCTTCTCTGATGAACGAAGAACATACGGTGCAAAGAGTGAAATCATCTACGTACAGACCAACGCTACTGGTCAGTATCATTAAATGAATGTTGCCTTGCAAGTGAAAAAGAAAAATAGACCTAAATAGTTTTCTGCCTGGTAGTCGTGATAGTCTTATATCCATGAAACTTTCTACTGCTGTTGCTGCTTTACTTTGGTAGGAAGGTATTCCTAAACAAATGTATGCTTCCCTGCACAGGGAGGAGGTGCCAATGTGCGCCTCTTCCATCAGACTCGTGTGGCCACATGTAAGAGCTTGTGTGCACGCTGGTGTATCCTGCTGCAGCATTGTTGGCTGTCAGTGGCCCTACTGTGGATGGCAGTTTATTCCCATGGAAATGGAAACTTTTCCCTTGTTGTCTTTCCCTTGTTCTGTCAAGCTCTCGCAGAGCAGTGGAAGTGACCTCTGTCTCTTTTCCCACCCACGCAGTTCCATCAGTCCCATTAGATCCAATATCTGTTTCCAACTCTTCATCCCAAATCATTCTGAAGTGGAAGCCACCCTCAGAGCCCAATGGAAACATCACGCACTACCTGGTGTTCTGGCCAGCAGGCAGAAGATAGTGAGCTTTATGAACTTGATTACTGCTTAAAAGGTGAGTTTTCTCTCTGTGCCTTTCTTTCAAGCTTTCTCAGTATTGTCTTGAGATTTTTCACGCATTTTGGAGGTGCTCTGGATGCCTCATTTTGCTGTTTTAAGACTGTTCAAGATAATAGTTGAGATGCAGCTGTGTTCTCCCACTGTTAAGTTACATTATACATGAGGTGCTACTGCCAAGTTATGTACAAAAACTCCTAAAATATTTTTTTACAAAGTAATCAGATGTTTTTTCCTTTGGGGATCTCCCTTCTGCACTTGTTCCTTTTAAACTAAGTAACAAGTGTAATAACAGCTATGGAGATAGTAAGGGAAAATACTGGTGCTTCTGGAGATCAACGGCCAAGTTACTTTTGAAGGCATCCTGTGCCTGTTTTGGAATTCTTTCACAACAGAGTTCCACTGAGGACTCTTAAAATCTCACCTGCTGCCCTTGTGTTACCTAAACTGAGATGAACTGGAGTAGAACTCTGTTTGGCTACAGCAGCATCATAGCTCCATTTCAAAAATAGCGGTTTTGAATCAAAGGCCTATCAGAAAAGAGGGAAAGCTGCTTGACCCTGGTTATGAAAGCTCAGGGTGCCCAAATGTGCTACGAATCTTGTGTAAACTAGTTTTGGATCTTTGTAGGATCAACCATCTGCTTCTGCCATGTCAGGCATGAGTGACAGTAAAATTTTGTCCACAGGATTAAAACTGCCCTCAAGGACGTGGTCTCCTCCTTTCGAATCCGAAGACACTCAGAAGTATAATCAAAGTGAAAGTGAGGATGTCAGCGGAGAATGTTGTTCCTGTCCTAAAACAGACTCTCAAATACAGAAGGAGCTGGAAGAGTCTGCTTTCCGCAAGACATTTGAGAACTATCTTCACAATGAGGTTTTTGTCCCCAGGTACGAATATCAAACAGTATTCCAGTATTCCCCGGGTGGTCAGGGGGAGGGAAATGTAATTGATTATTAAAGAAAAATATTGGGCTGGACATGGCCATATTGCCAGTCTCTCTGGGCTACCATGAGACTGTCTAGTCCAGCTGAATACGTTTGTCAGAGACTGGTGAGAGCTGAGCATCTACAACTGATGTTACTACAGATTTGGAAGATCCTGCTCTTATTTCCTGTCTCTGGCTTCTCCTCAGCTTGAGAATGAAGTGAGAATCCATAACAAATAGCTAAATGCCTGCAGCTCATTTAAAATTGTATGATGCCAAAAATAGCTATTTTTTTCTGTCCTCGAATTTTGTGGTCTAGCTTTTCATCCAGTTGAAAAGAAAGAAAAAGGGAAGTTTACCATGCCACAGCCTTGTCCTTTAGCACAGTATTTGCGGTCTTCCTTGCACTTAGCCTGGGAAATACCTCCAATACCATGAGGAATGCAACTGCTGTGGGTGGTGAATGTCCTGTTTTGAATGGCACACGCAGTGTCACATTAAGTGGTGTTGAATGTCTTCACACTTCATATGCAATTTACAGAGGAGGCACTGGGAATCAGGTTAGAGTCTGTAGTGATTTACCCTCTTCACTGTCACACATTTTGCGCTCTAAATTTGTTCTGTGCTTACTGCCCTTAGCTAATAAACATTTATTTTCAGCTGCTTGACAAAAGCTATGTTACTGCACTGAACATTTTTTCTTACTGAGTGCGTTACTGGAGTGTCTCTTCTCTGCAAGCCTGGTTTGATGCCTGCAGTTGTCACCTGGAAGCTTGTGCAGTGTCACTCCTGTTGCTATTTCTTTGCTGTTAATGCTGATCAGGGCAGGTTTCAGTGTGCAAGATGGTACCAGGACACAACATATTCAAAAGCAGAGGAGAACCAAGCCATGTACAAAAGCTGAACTCCTCTTGGTGTAGGCAGGCAATTGTGACAATCTGATTTCTTTTTGTTTGTTTGTTTGTTTGTTGTTTGTTCTTCAATTTTGTTGTGCAGCCAGCCCAGGATGCTTCTCAGGCCAGTTTCTGGGGTATGTATTTTAGGAAGAAACCAGTCACCAGGATGTGCCACCTTGTCAGCCTGCTAAGGAATAAATCTCCACGTCCCCTAAGCTAACTAATCCTTTTAATACAAGCCCCTTTTGCTGTCACAAGTCAGCAGTAAAGACACCTGCCTGCTGGCATGTGTCCTGCTTGTCTTTTCTGACAGGCACCAGGCTGTGGCAATGTAAGTTAGAATTAGTTTTCCTGTGAATACTGTGCTTATTGCCTGCTCATGGGGCAGCCCAGCTAGAGCCTGGCAACTGAACATGAAGTGTGTTTTACTTCAGGTGCTTTTTGCGTGGCTCCTGATGGTTTATTGGCCTCTCTCCAGGCACGGTGCAGACTCCCCTTGAGATAAAAAGCCTTCTGCCAGTCACGGGAAGGAATCTCACAGATGAGGCTGGCAGGGAATATGAGATGGCAGGGGTGCAGAAGACAGAGCAGTTGAGAAGTTACTCCCCTAATGTCTTGTCTCTCCTTGTTTTCCATGGGCCGTTGCTCTCCTCCTGCCCTGTTCCCAGCTATCTAATCCCGCACGAGGCTGTGCCACAGATCTGCCAGGCTCTGCCTTAGTCCCAGGTCTTGGTCTTTCTGAGAAACACGTCTGGAAATCACAGAAGCTGTTCCTTCCCCACGTGCACAGTTGATTAGCTGCTCTAAGAGATACCAGCACAAGTCTTGAGGGTTAATTTGCTCTGGCGCTGGCAAGGCAAACTAGAAGTTTCTAAATGCTTCTTGCCATACCCACCTCCCCAGTCAGAGCTAGCAGGCATCTTTACACCACGTGCTTTGTAACCTTCCTTTGTAGCTGAACAAAGTGGCCATCAGAAGCTGATGCTTTGTTTCTTCTTTCCTGTGTTATTTGCTCTTACATTGGAACGAGTTTTGCACAGATTGGAGCGCATAGGTGATTGCACCCTGGAGCAGGTTGCCCAGGGAGGTTGTGGAGTCTCCATCCCTGGAGATATTCAGAACCTGACTGGACATGGTCCTGAGCAACCTCTCCAGAGGTGTCTTCCAGCCTCAACCACTCCATGATTCTGTGGAAAACGTGGAAGAATTTCAAAAGTAATGATAAAGTCCTGAGAGGCAGAAGGGAACTAAATGGCTGCTATTCAGGATGTAATGTCATGTATACTATCCACCAGCAGTACTGCAGAAAAAGCAGTCTCACTCTTCTTTCTGTGTCTATATTCTCCCTCTCTCTGTCACACACACTCGTACCATTACAAATATTAGTGGGTTACAGAGAGAACAATATCTGGGAAATGGCTTGCATTAAAAGTAACTTTTTTTTTTTTTTTTTTTTTCCTGGGTTTCCCAGTTGAGTCCAATTAATTGTACGGACAAATATAGAAATGCTTTTGCCAGCACAAGGGGGAAGACAGGCCAGCTGTTCCTCTGCTAGTTTCAGGTGTGTGGAAGAAGTTGGCTTAAGCTAGCCTAATGCATTTTTTAATTCCCCAGCACAGGCCATATTGCATGTGATGAGTTGTCACTTCCATCCTTCTGTGGACCAAGAGCCACCACACACTGATAATCTCAGACAGTAGGAGCAGAAGGAACCTGAATCTGAGTATTTCACAGGGGGTCATTGCAGCTACTGAAATGGCCATAATGAAAATTCCACTGGAACAACTATGGGAAGACATCACATGCTTAAAAATACAGAGAATTTGGCAAGAAATTCGCTGCAAGTCCAGGATAATAAATATGGGAAGATGGGGTTTACAGCCAAAAGTTTTCCTTGCTTTCTGTTACTTGAGAAGGAAGAAGTTATTCTTGCATTTTACTCTGTGTTGCATCAGTGGTCAGATTACTGTTTTACTTGTGAAAAACAAAATTATCTTAAACACGAGGAACAGCTGAACCCACACTTTGTAAACAGTGGCGTGTAGCTTTGCTTTTAAGTCCAAACAAGTTCTGGTTGACCATAAAGAATCCTTGCAAAGGAGGGAGGTGGCATGACCCAGACCTGGGTCTCTGAACTCTGCCCCATTGTTAGGGGACACTGTTCAGAACAATGCACAAACTGAGATAACAGCAGCTCCAAAATGAGTTAATTAGTAATTAGAGAAAGAGAAGACTGAAAACTGGAATGTGCTCTGCTGAACCTGCTGTTTGGCATCCCATTTTTTCATCAGGTGGATAAATATGCTTACATTGCTGGGTACAACCCGATGTTTAGTTTCAGGAAATCTTAAAATCTGCTTTCCAGCTGGTTGCATTTGCTGTTGGAGGAGAACAACACCAGACAAAAGACCTGATCCGCACAATCCCTTGTTGTAGCTGTAGTTGGCCAATCATTTGCCTGGTAGGCAGAGGGTGCAGTGGAAAGTTCAGTTCAGCAGCAAAGATTTGCTTCAACAGCTTGTTACATTTTTAGAGACTGGAGATGCCTCTCAAGTGTGGGTTCAGTTCAGGTCACTCTTTATACCCTTTAATAGCTGCACACACATGCACGCAGAAAAAAAAAGGTCATCATCCCCTTAAAATACATGGTCTGGTTTTCAAATGGCATTAATTCCTTTTGTGTAACTAAATACTATTACTGATTCACCACACTGGTTAGTTCCCAACCTGGAATTCCTCATAACAAATGTGTGACAGGACGTAAAGTGTTAGAACAAGGAGTTTTGTTTTGGTACTTGTTCCCTTTTTTTTTTTTTCCAAGAAAATGAAATTTGTGAATGGTTCTTAATTCTGTTGAATTTATTTTGTTTATTTACTGACAAAATCTGACATTACAGTTGGCTGGTAGCACTCACTTGCAAACAGGGGAGTTGACAGGATCACACTGCCAGTTCTGTTTTTACAACTGCAAAAAATTGATTTCAAACCGAAGTGCAATAATTTGAGAGGCCATATGTGATTAACAAAACCGCACAACTAATACGTAATCTGAATCCTTGAGTTTTAAATGCATCCATTGAAAAGAACATAATAGATTTGGTCTCTCAGGAAAAGGTTAAAATTATCTACCCATCTAGATTCAGCTTTAGGGTTCAGAGTGGCAGATGTCTTCCAGTGAGCTGTGAAACTGGTCTTACGCTTTATAAATGCAAGTTTATGACACTTAGAATATGTGGCACATCTAAGGTCATCAGACTTGGGGGCTGTGATGTGACCTCATTTGCTCAAAGCTAGAATGTGTAGGAGATGAACTCCAAAGCATTGCAACACTGTACAGGCATCCGTGAGGCAACCTTGTAAAGTTGTATTCAGCTGAAAGGATCTAGAAGAACCTGAATTCTCAAGCAAATACTTAAGATTTATTAATACTTGGATTTATTTAAATTGTTTTTTTTCCCTGTATGAAGTTGTACAGGGAGAGTGTCTCAGGAATACATACTTTTAAAAAGCTATGTGCATTACAGGGGGTAAGACAGATTGCTTGTTTAAAAAAAAAAAAACAAACTCCTGAATGTCTTTGTTGCATTACAAATATGAGACTTGAATTTGAGTTTTCAGTGACACTCTGAGCTCTGCCATTTTAGCTCTGCCTTTCCAGATTAATGTGTTTACACTGAATATAGCAAATAACATTGTAACCTGTATTATTTAATAGGCCATCAAGAAAACGAAGAGACCTTGGCTCTGTGGCAAATGCCACTGTGGTGATACCCACCATCACATCCTCTCCAAACAATTCTGCAGCAGCACCTGACAATGCAGAGGAACAGAAACCTTTTGAAAAAGTTAAGTCCAAGGAGTCTTTGGTTATCTCAGGCCTGCGGCATTTCACCGGGTATCGCATTGAGCTCCACGCTTGTAACCATGATGCTCAGGAATCCCGATGCAGTGTGGCAGCTTATGTCAGTGCCAGGACCATGCCAGAAGGTAATTATCTTCCTGAGTTTTGCTTTGGGGTTGAGGACTGTTTTCAAAATGCTGCTTTTCCTACAGTAGACAGCTGCAATACCGAAACATCGTGTAGGACTGGTGCTATCTTTGTGTCCTGATGGGAAGGGATGATGGATGAAATATTGGCAGTTTTGAATTTTGTCAAAGACATGAAATAAAACTATTATTAATCATGAACTTGGTTCTAGCTAAGGCTGATGACATCGTTGGTCCAGTTACCCATGAGCTGGTTGAAAAAAATACCGTGCATTTGAAGTGGCAAGAACCAAAGGAACCAAATGGTCTTATTGTGCTGTATGAAGTGAATTATGGGCGTCTTGGGGAGACAGAGGTGAGAACTTCTGCTTGTTCCTTAACACAGCACATTTGGAGAAGTAGCTCTGCCTGGGATTTCATGACTGTTTAGTCTTTAATATTCCTTGTGCATATGGTGTTCTGTCCTGCCTGGTTTCCTTGTGCATGAACCAGTGTGACAAAAAACTGGGGTGACATCGAGAAATAAAAAACTGCCTCTAAGGTGCGCGTTTGCCAAATAAGCTTATCTAATTAGCCAACTTTCTGCATGGATTTTTCTTTAAGAATTCTGTTTCACAAAGGGACAGATACCATACATCTAAATTTAAGTTGCTTAGAGAAATGAAGAAAGGGTTTAGCAGCCAGGGAGCTTGTGGGCAGCCCTGCTGCCCGTGCAGAATGCCAGTGCCGCGGGGGTGGGAGGGCTTGCCAGCCCAGGTCGGATTGCAGGGCTGAGGTCTAGTACAGCAAATGGCATATGCTCTCTGTAATCTGAACTACCAAACTGTAAAATGCAAATCCAGGATAAACCGCTATATTGGAAAAGACCTGCGCCTGTGAAAGCCCTGTTTGTGTACATTTGCCAGACAAGGAGGCGAGGTAGAAGTCCTCATGTGCTGTTACAGAGCTCTGGGTTGCTGCAGAGGTAGCGTAATGCAGCCTTCATCTTCCCTCTTCCCGCAGGAAGCTCACTACTGCGTTTCCCGCAAGCATTTCGCCAGCGAGCAGGGCTGTAAGCTCCGTGGACTGCAGCCTGGAAACTACAGTGTCCGTATACGAGCTACATCACTGGCTGGAAATGGCTCGTGGACAGAACCTACCTATTTTTATGTGGCTGATTATTGTGAGTTCATTTTATTTTCAACATTTAATTCCTGATGGAAACCCGGGTTATTTATGGAAGATGGGTGTTTAGTCAGCAGTGCACAGAGAACCCTAGGGGGTCATAAAATTATCACCGATACATCTACTTTCAAGCAACTGAAATTACTTAGAAATATGTGGCTTTTCTTCATGAGTTCTCATTCTGAGCAGCCCCTCATTCTCTATCTGAAATAGCCTCTAGTTTCATGTTTGTTCCAATTTATTCAAGAGGGAGCTTTATTGAGGAACAGACTTGGATTTTGGACCTGTATAATAACCTCCAGCTCTCTCTCTCTTAGTGAATGCTCAGCCTAATATTGCTGTTATAATTGTTCCGATTATTTTTGCCATAATAATTGCTGGAATTATTGGAGCTGCTTACGTGCTTGTGAAAAAAAGGTGAGTACAATTTTATGTTGTTTTCACCAGAACAAACAAAACATATCCAAAGGTTTTATTTATTTGTTGGGAGTAAGTCAGCATTTATTTTCTAATTTAGATAACTATTGCAACATTAATTTAGTTTAGGAAATATTTTGTGCCTCTGGAAATTGGGACAGTTGGTATTTGCGGCATGCTTTGGGAATTAATCAAACTGCCTTCAGTTCTAATGTGTCAGAGGCTGCAAATTTGCTGAAGAATTTGTGCGTCTCTTCCAGACAAACCGAAGGACCAACTGGACCACTCTACGCATCCTCTAACCCTGAATATCTCAGCGCCAGTGATGGTGAGAGCAATGAGGGCTTTCTTCAATAACTTATTTCTTGTGTAGTCATTCAGACAGTGCAGCAGTATGGGCTTGACATTGTCTTTATGGAGTTTTCTAGTCTTTTTTTTAAATATATACCTACTGTATTGTGTGGCAGTGCTACTCGAGGCTGCTACAGAAATGTCTTTCGAAAGATACTTGCTCAATTCAGAAATGTTTCCCTCTGCTCAACAGTCTATGTCCCCGATGAATGGGAGGTTCCACGAGACAAGATCACTCTCCTCCGAGAGCTGGGACAGGGCTCCTTCGGCATGGTGTACGAGGGGATCGCCAAGGACATAGTGAAGGGAGAGCCGGAGACGCGAGTAGCTGTGAAAACTGTCAACGAATCAGCCAGCCTCCGTGAGCGCATCGAGTTCTTAAATGAAGCTTCTGTGATGAAAGGGTTCAGCTGCCATCATGTGGTAAGCATCACTGCCTGCCTCGGGTGATTAGCAGGCCCCGTCACATAACTAATAGTTGTTTAGTGCTTTCGAAGCTTGACGTTCAGCTTACAAAAGCAGCAGCTCGTCTGCAGAGGCAAAAACTCAACAAGAGCTGGGATCTCGCCATGTCGTATTTCATAAAATGCACCTGCTTGCATCGTTTCTCTTTTGCTCTTTCAAAACTCAGCGTGACGAAGCTTTGTGGTGCTGTTCTGAGTCCTTTCTCAGGAGACTTTGCTACAACCCCCGCTTTTCGTAGCTGGGCTCTGCCCAGTGTGTTTGGACATGACCTTGAGGGAATTTCTCACTTATTTTCCAGGTTCGCCTCCTCGGGGTGGTCTCAAAAGGGCAACCTACTCTGGTGGTCATGGAGTTAATGGCACACGGAGATTTGAAAAGTTACCTTCGCTCTTTGAGACCTGATGCCGAGGTAAAAACAGGAGAGATGGAGTCTGTTGTGCAACAGAGTAACTTGATTTGCTTTTTAACACTTCTTTGTATACTGTAGAATAACCCTGGTCGTCCGCCTCCAACGCTGAGAGAAATGATCCAGATGGCTGCAGAGATCGCTGATGGCATGGCCTATCTGAATGCCAAAAAATTTGTTCACAGAGATCTTGCGGCTCGTAACTGTATGGTTGCAGAAGACTTCACTGTAAAAATTGGAGGTATGTAGTGTGTGATCAGAAGATAATTCTGTGGGTCATATTTGTTGTAAAGGCAAATACAGGAAGCCCACAACCAATGTGGCAAACGCAGGTGATTTCCACTGGCTACCTTTGGAAATGCAGCAAACTTTCCCCTTTTCCTTCCATTGGAAAGAACTGTATGGATGTCAGTAAGAAAATAATCTTGAGAACCAGAGCAGCTTTTCTCACCTTCTCTATTCTTCAACCCCTATCCAAAAAGTTTATTGCCTTTCCAGCCTAGGCTGCCTAGGGTTATCTTGCTCTTCTTTGCTTTCAGGAGAATTGTGACAAAGAAGCTGTTCAGTACAACAAACCAAGTTGTTGATAATCGTATTGTTAGGTCAGGTGCCTTTTAAAAGTCATTTATCTTCCACAAGAACCAGTTTTTAACCCAAGCCCTTTTAGAAATAAGTAAATACAACATTTAAAAACAAACCAAAACCCCACAACGTGGTGGTTTTTCAGACTTCTTTGGACTCAAAGCCAAGGCTTTCAGTGTAAAGAGAGCTCTGTTTTACTTAGGAGGATGAATAAAAATAATGTTTAGAATACAAGCTGTCGCTAGCAATTTTAACTCTGGAGTCTCTATCACAGCTCTGCAGAAAAAGTGCAGGGAAAAGGAAAATGTTTTGAATGTTAATCACAAGGTGACAGATGACTGCACGCTGGGCCACAGGAGGCTTACTGGGTGTATGAAAACAGCCTGGCGTCAAAGGACAGAAGCAGTCATTTGGAGATGTTGCAGAGTTAAAGTAGCATGGAGGGAGAGACATTTAACACATCCCAATTGCTTTTCTCAGACTTCGGCATGACCAGAGATATCTATGAGACGGATTATTACCGTAAAGGAGGCAAAGGACTGCTGCCTGTGCGGTGGATGGCACCCGAATCATTAAAGGATGGCGTTTTCACTGCTTATTCTGATGTGTGGTAAGTTGTACTCTGCAATCCCAGATGGACTCCAGCTCAAGAGCTGGAATTTTAACTATTTTATCACTATTTTAACACGCATAGTTTAAATTATAAGTTGCTGACTTCTTCAAAACACAGACAAAACAAAAACATTGTTTTGAAACCCTCCTCTTAAAAGTATAGTCACGTTCTTTTAAAGTATGTATTTTCCACAATAAGACTATCACTTGTGGATTTCCAGGATGTTTTATTCTCACCAGGAGTCTGCTCTCTTTCTTAGGTCATTTGGTGTTGTCCTCTGGGAAATAAGCAGTTTGGCAGAGCAGCCCTACCAGGGACTCTCCAACGAGCAGGTGCTAAAGTTTGTAATGGATGGAGGATACCTGGATCAGCCGGACAACTGCCCGGAGAGGCTGTGAGTAGTAAAGCAGGGGACAGTCGACCAAGCTGCACTCTTTAGCTAAAGTGTGGCCAGCAAAGGTGGCCCCACACGTGGCACCTCTTAACCCCTTCTCTGTTGGGGAGAAACGAAACAGGCTTTAGTGAGCCACTTCTCACAGAAATTCAACCAATGCATCCTTAGTGATCCAGGAATTACAGACCTGAGCCAGCCTGTTTCACTAGGAGGGAAATTAAACCCACCTGAACCTTACATTGTGAGTACAGACTCAAGAGAAGGAATTACAAAGCACAGGAAAAGCTTAAAATACAAATAAGCAAACAAAATGTTTTTCCTCCACTCCAGACTAGTGGATGGTGGTTGGCTTATGTCAAGTGGCAAAGCCTGGCCACCATCTGCATCCACGCAGCTACAGAGGCTGGAGAGCAGCTTCTTAATCCCAGGCCTGCTGAGGTTTTCTGTAATTCATCTCTCTCTATACTACGTAAATAGTCTTGAGAATTACAACAACTCTTTACCACTGATTTTCAGAAATCCAATTTATGGCTAATGAGAGAGGCAAGAGAATGCTGTGCTGAGCCAAGAGCTGTTTATCATGTCCGAGGCCTTTTCATTTCTGTTGCAGACTCATTGCCCCACTTAAAGTACGAGGCTAGGCTGCCTGCAGGGTTAGGGAGAAAAGAGGGCAGTGTGTGAGGGCAGTGAAAAACACCTCGCAGAGATTACAGACTGCAGCCAGACGTTCTCCTGCGCCGGGGTTAAGGGTTATTCTCCGCAGCTGCTCGTGACGTTCACTGTCTGGAGGTTACTGCGTCCCCGGCTCTGCCAGCACGGCTGCGTACCCAGATGCTCCCTAAGCTGCTTCTGTCAGAGTAATTGAAAAAATCCCATTACTGTGTTTAACCTGAGCGAGGGCATTTCGGTGGGTGGAAGGAGCCGCGGCTGAAGCAGCGGTGAGGGGCAGGAGCCCTGGCTGGAAAAGGGAACGCAGGTGGTGACACAGTGGTTCTGGTAACCTCCCACCCCAGCCCACTTCTGGCCAAAACAGCACTACCAGAGTCAAAAAATAAACTTGTCTTGTGAGTATCCTTATGAAAAAAGCCTGCTGTCCGGGACATTTGTCTCTCATGGCCAGTTACAAACTCCAGTTTGAAACTTTGTTTGCACTTGTAAGTTCTTTCTCCACAGTGTCTGATAACATATGACCTCTTGCCGCAGCCTTTCTTTTGGGTGGGATGTTTACAGGACCTCTGTCCTCTGCACAGCCTCCTGTTTTCCTTGAAGTTTTAGAAGCTTTGTTATCTTTCAGGCTGAGTTAAAATTAAAATTGAATGAATTAAAAAACTGTGACCTGGCTATAAGTGTGTGCACAATACACAGAGTATGTGAACTGCAGCCCTTTTTCCTTCAGAAGCCAAGTTAAGAACAATTGAAGAAATGGGAAGGAATTTTTGATCTAGACAGAAATAGAGAAAAAGGAGTGTCAGGATCTACAGGCAAATATGGAGACTGGAAAGAGAACAAACAACTCTTGAGTGTCAGAGGAGAAGCGTGGGTGGTGGGTGGTCTGACACGGGTACCAGCCTTGGTCCCTGCCAGCCCTGCCCACATGAAATTGTTTCTTCTTAGCCCTGACTCCTGTTTGTCCCGATCTAGGCACAGCCTGATGCAGATGTGTTGGCAGTACAACCCGAAAATGCGCCCCACCTTCATCGAGATCATCGAGATGCTGAAGGAGGACTTGCACCCCAGCTTCCACGAGGTCTCATTCTTCTACAGTGAGGAGAACAAACCTCTGGAAACAGAGGAGTACGAGATGGACTTTGAGAACATGGAGAGCATTCCCCTCGACCCCTCCTCGTACTCGCAGAGGGACAAAGTCCTGGGGCGGGACAATGGACCCTCCATGGCTCTCAAGGGGAACTATGAAGAGCACATACCTTACACTCACATGAACGGTGGCAAGAAAAACGGGCGGATTCTCTCCATGCCCAGGTCAAGTCCTTCCTAACGCTTCCTGTTTGGCCCAAGGGTTGCGTCGGCTTTTTTTTCCCCTCCACAAATCTCAGGACTCTTGTTATTGCTGCCACAGTGTATGACACACATCTACAAACTCTTCAGATTTTTAATCATCTTACGATTAATACTTCTTTTTTTTTTTTTTTTTTTTTTGCCAAGTTGACTGGTTGTCAGTGGACTTATCTGTGAACATAAATGGAAGAGGTTTCCATGGCTGCTGTCCCTTCTGTAACCATGGTTTCAAAACAGGAAGCGACGGTGTAAGTTGAACTGAAGGAGGAGCATCCACGTTTGCCAACAAAAGACATGAAATTTGCTGGTATCTGAGCTACAGCGTAACGGTGCGGAACAAAACTTCTGCAGGACAAAAGCATTTCCAGTAGAATTCCAGGCTTGCAGGCATACTCTTCACTACAGCTGAAGGATTCAACACATCGGTCGGACGCGCCAGATCCTCAGATTGACCAATAGCTGCTGCTTTCATACTTTTTAAAGGGGTTAAATCCCAGGGGTGCGTGCGTGTGTGTGTATGTGCGTGTGTGCAGTATATATATGTGGGGTGTATATGTATAGCAAAATATACACTTCTGGTTTTTTGTACATAAGTTTTGTATGTTCTCACAGAAGCTTTCCTCTTCTTGGAAGTGTGTACTTATCTTTTTTTTCCCATTTCCCTGGAGTGATTGAATCCTAAACAGATTATTTTTATACTAAGGACTCTTGGGAGTAGGTTTTCTCTCATTGACAAATGGGGAAAATGTGCTGGGAGCCAAAGGAGCAGAAATCTGAGATTTGTGGGTACTTTCAAGACCAAACGAAGTAGGAGTCCCCTGACCTGAGATAGGGAGTTTTCTGTCCTTACAGCATTGAGTATATATATTGTTTGTTGTAACATATTTAAAAAAGTCTTTAGTTTAAATTTTAACTTCATATAAATTATTTGACTGTTTATGATCCTTTCGGGGAGGGGAGAATTTGGGGGATTGTTTGGTCTTAAAGTGGTCCAAAGATTTCAGAATGAACTAATTTTAGCCGATTACCCTTTTAGGAGCTACGAAGCACATGTTAAGTTTACACTTGACAAGGCTTTATAATACACTTTCATAATTTACACAGTGCAGTCAGCTGGCTCCAGCTGAAGCCCGGAGATAAAGTAGTTGGGAATTCACTTGGTTATTGGGGGCTGAAGGATGCCAGAACATCCCAGTCCCGAGTCCTGCTACTCCTTTGCCCCCGTGCCCCTCGCTTCGCCTCCTGCGCGCGCTGGGCGGCGGAAGCAGCCGGCAAGAGAGGACGAGTGAGAACTCGAACTGAAAAAAGAGACACTAAAGCCAGTGCCAAGCGGGGAGGGCGCGAGGCGCTCGGCTCTGCTCGTGAAGCAGAAGCTGAAGGTGACTGTGGTGAGCTATCCGCTGCCGGGCTGCTGCTGCTCGGGCGTCTGGCCTCGTGCCGCCTCCAGGCCTTCGATGTTTTCCTGAGATACCCGCGCTGCGTCCTGCAGACTGCCCGGGACGCCTGTGTTAGCCGCTGCTTTCAGCTCTTCGGGATGTCAGCTTTTTGTCTTCTGAACTGTGCTTTTGTTTCGCTGCTGTTTGCCTAAAAGACGGAGCTGATTAGCGTAAGATGTTAGAAAATAATTGTGAAACTAAACTTGTCTCGTAGTGATGAGGGAGTGTGCTGGCAGGGAGAAGTGCTAAAGCAAGAGATGACGACGATCGATGGCGCAGGCGCTTGTCACGCAGGAGGGGATGTTAAAAGGGACGCGCAGGCCTCCGCTTCCCCTCCTGGAGAAGTGCAAGAGCCAGGTTGCGCTCCCTGCCAGGAGAAAACGGGCTGCTCCTGACTCGGGGAGAGCGGGGATGCCGAGCTGGCGTGTGGCTTTTTATTCCAGCCCGGGCGGTGCTGCCGAATTTCTCTCTGAAACCAAAACGAAAGGGGCTGGAGGGCAACCTCCCCTCGCCTGCTCCCCGCAGTCGCTAAACCGGGGCGGCGGCGGGGGGGACGATGGCCGGGGCACCCCCAGAGCTGCCGGGCCGTCGCGCTGCTTCCACCTGCTCAGTTCGGACGGAGGTGGAGGGTGCAGGTTGCTCGCAAAGTAAAGACGGAAAATACACAGTCCAGACGTGGGTAAGAACCTTCGATTTCAAAAGGCCTCGTTTACATTTCTTCTGCTTTACAAAGTCGGATCTGTATAGCAGCTCTATACTACACTGCAGGAAAGAAGACATATTCTCACACTTTTCTAAGGAAGAGAAGTTTTTCTTATTAGAATTTTTTTATTTATTTTAATATATAAAACACTGTAAAAAAAAAAACAGCAAACAATTTGTTTTCTTAAACACACAGAACGTGTAAATTTGTATCCGTAAAATCTTGGCAGGGGGATGTGGTGGGATTATTTTTGTCCTGTTCTGGTGCAGTCTACCTCAGTGTTTCTTAAGGATATTTTTAATACTACGCACCTCTAAACCTGTTTAAATATTTTGGTCTGGACCTGTTGTGGATCAGGGAAAATCAATATCAGCTGATTCCAATACTCAGGACCATTCACCAAAGGGAATGGGTAGGAGAATGGCTCGTCACTGTTCATCGCTAATCTGAGCAGTAGTGACCAAAGGAACCCATTTACAAATTTGGATCTGATGTTCTGGTACCATCCTCTTAGTTCTGTTGTGATTTAAAAGAAAGGAAAAAAAAGAACAAAAGAGCCATTTTAAATGTTTGGATTTGAGTGATTTAATGACTTCAAAGGAGTAGACTGCTTCCTTCTGGAGCAGCACTTGCCAGTGCGGAGCGGGGCTGCGACCGGCCGGGTTGGAGTTGGATTTGGGGGATCTTGGTCCCCACCCTTCTCGCTGCGCGCAGGTAACCCGCAGCCCTGCGGTAGGACATGACCTCCCGAAATAAACCGTTCCCAGCACGGCCTTGCTTTGATGACATTTTAAATTGCAGTGATCGGAACTGTGGGAATGGCAGATCTTTTTTATAAACAAACATTGGAACCTTGTATTGGGTCTGGCTTTGAAATTTAGTTGATATTGGTTGGCCCTCTGAGTGCACATGATTTGAAACACTAGATCACTGACCAAGGGAATACGTGTTTTGCTTTGGGGACAGGCAGTCCACTCCCATGGCTCATCCTGTCATCTTCACTCGGCACCACACGGAGCAGTTGTTTATACCCGGTAGGTGTGTAAAGATTATTCCAGTCATCTTTTCTACATCGTGCCAAGGGTGAGGAAAGGCGTACGGTACTGGTGACGAGGATAGCGGTTTTCCCTTTTAAAAACAAAAAAAAATTACACTAGTGGTTGCTACTCATGGCTGTTAAAGATGACACACACTTAACTATAGAATTAGGAAGAAGAAATGAACAACATCACACGTAAAGCCCAGCTCTCCTGAAAAATCCTTTACGCTCAGCCCGCGGCCGACACTTCGGTCTCTTGTTGGAAGATCCTGACACTGAAGTCCCTCGCTTGGATCTCGTCGCTGCCCGCTCGGAGAGGCCGGGCTGGCGCAGGTTGAGATCACCCGTGCTGGGCGAAATCTCTGGGCACGGGGGGTTGTGAAGGACTCCTGCCCGGGAGGGTGGGGGTGCTGTGCCTTTGTCGGGGAGCTGCTGCTCTTTGCTCCAGCCCGATCCCTGTCGGGGTGAGAAAGCCGCAGCCGCAGCAGGAGCAGCCAAGCGATAGCGCAGGGAAACGGGTCGAAGGGCTGGAGGAGGGCAGCCGGGATGGGCGGGTGGGAAGCTCTTCTTTTTCTTGAGGTAGGATTTGTTGGAGGGTTGGATCCTGCCCTTTGTGGGCCGAGAACTTCCCGCTCACAGCTGGACAAGACTCCGTAGCCTCTTGTGCGCGGTCCGAGGACAGGGAGCGGACCAGCAAGGAGCCAGGCTTCCCTGTCGCTAAAGCTGGTGAAGCAGGAGGTATCAAACAGCTTTCAGTGCTCTGCTGTGTTTTCACCCAGCAAATGTTCGAAGCATGAGACTGGAGAGGTTTCTCAGAAACGTTTGCACGTTAAATTCAATTGCCACTTCCTGAACGCCTCTTGCAAATCTGGTACTTCTCTTGCAGCGCAGCATCGCAGGGCTTGGCGGCTAGGTTAGAAACGTGTCTTGGCTGCTTGTAAATACTCTATTGTGTTGTAAAATAGAAGCGCTAATAACATGAACTCTGTGCCAGCACTGGCTTGGGAAAGGTGGTAGGAACTAGACCACGCTGCAAGGGAGGGTATTTTCTGTTGCAGCTGTGTTGGTATGGAAGAGGCTGCTCTTAGGTTGCTAAAGGGTACTCTTAATTTATGGGTAGAATATCTCTTTCCTCCTAAATTTGTATTACAGTGATGGGACACTTTGCTTAATTTTAGTATGTTGCATATAATGTTGGTATCTCTTTGGAAAAATCTCAGTTGCTTACTGTGTTATTGACCTAACTATGTCAAAGGCAATGGGAAAAGACAGGAGCAAGAAGGGCGCCGTGTCGGTTATTTGTGAGCCTCCGTTTTAGGGGAGGGAGAGAGGCCATCGAGTTCCCTCTTAACATCCCTGCGACATGAAGACGGACCCTGAGGTGTTCCGGGCCCTTCACGGCGAGCAGTGATTCCCGATACCAGGACTGGAACCTTGTTTTACAAGTCAGAAAGTAAAATATCTTTGTGCCATAAAAACCTTACTCTCAAGGCTGTGTTAGGTGCTCCCGCGATCCATGTGAGATCGGTTCAGAGCCTGGAGTGAGCAAGAAACTGCAGAAAATCCCCCGACCCCCCTCGCTGTGCCCCAGCCCCCTCGAAGCTGCCCGCCGCCGCGGCAAGACTCGCAGGAACCCGCTCCCCTCCGCAAACAGCCGATGATGCCCCTCGCAGGTTCCCGTGCGCGTGGTCCAGGGGAAGGAGCTGTTGGATGGATCGGAATCAATAGTTACTTCAGAAATACACGAAATTCAGAATAAGATTAGTTTGGTGTTTGTATGAACTTCATTGAATTTGGCCTTTTTATTGCCTTCTGCTTGGCTCTGTGTTAACTCCGCTTGGATTCTGTCTGTGAATGTTGGTGTAAGAGCATTAACATGTTCAACCTGTTCTGTTCCGGCTTGCCTTGTTACGAGCGTCGCAAGAGTGAAGCCAATCGTACAGTTGACTTTTGGAGGAACCTGACTCTTCAAAAAGCAATTCTGAAGCTACCATTTTTAGCAAATCTGCTGTCATTAAATGTGTATTTCTTTTTAAAATGAAATTGCTTGTCTTGAAAGTAAGCACTTATTCTTGCAGTTTCAGCAAATTAACTGCAGCACAATGCAAGCTGTAAGGGGACAGGTAGAGAAATGACTTTTTAAATATTGTATAATAAAGTTAGTATTAACTCTTACAGTGTTGTTATTTTTTTGCCGACAGATTTGCAATCAGTAAGAAATGCTGTTTCTGGTCGTCACTTTGTTCTGAGTCCAGTGTTCCAACTCATGGTACTAAACAGTTTCTTTTTCTCAGCCCAGAAAGTCCCTGTGGGAGCAGGGGCCGGCCAGGAGGGCCTGTGATAGATCTGGCAGCTACAGAGGAACCAGCAGCAGAGTTTAAATGTGGGTATGGACACGCTCGCTCAGCTGAGTCCCAGCCCCTGCTAAGCCCCAGCATCCCCAGTAAAGCTGGAGCTCAGGATTAATTACCTGAGAGAGCTGAGCTGGACTCGATACCAAAGCTCTTCTGCTAATCCAGATTCTCCCAGCAGCATCCAGCAACGCCTCCGCCGTTTTAGTTTCCAAATACTTCTCCCATAACGGCGTCCCAGGAAAACTGGCGGAGGGAGAATTTTAGAAAGGCCACTCCTAAATCCACAAAGATAGGATGGTTTTTAAAAAGGAAAAGTGTTTCCTTTTGCTTCAGTCCAGTCAATGATTTTCTTCCTGGGGTATCAACGCAGTGGTTTGTGTTCGAGGACCTGCTGGGTCGGGGGTACGGGACATCGGCCTTAAACACAGCCCAAAGCCGCTGCTTTCTGCTTGCACTTCAGTAAACGAAAGACAGTTCAGGTACGTGTTAAGTGATGTTCTGTGAAGTCTTTTTTTTTTTTCCTGTTTAATCTTGCTGCTCCCACCTTTCTCTCTGCCTATTTAAGGTTCCAGAATACAAATAGTATTCCAGATTCCTCTTACTTGAAATAAAGGATCAAATGTGCCATGATTTTTTTTTAAAAAGGAAGAAAAAAAAGAAAAACCTTCCCCCTTGATTTATTTTTTTCAATGTTTTCGTATAGAAGAGCCAAGCAGTGACACGTACAGAAAATATCTTTGAATATTACGAAAAAAAATCTTGCTGTGTGTCAGAATATTGAACAATTAACTTATATTAAATTTCTGAATAAATTATCCAAGAATAACTCTGCTCATTTTGTGTCTGCTGTCTGTGCAGCACTGAAGGCTGCTTTGCCACAGAGAAAGCACTAAATTAATATCTTGGAATAAGCAATACTTTCAGTTGCAAAATGAATGGTGTTAAAAAAACAAACAAACAACAACAAAAAAAAAAAAACAGATCTGCCAATTACAGGCTTGTGGTCTGAGGCCCAGTTGAACTCCTCTGCCTGCTGGCTCGGGCGACCCGCGCCGGGCTGTGTCCTCACCGTGGGGCTCTTGTAAACATCAGTAAAGGGATTTCTTCTGCCTGAAACAGCGAGAGCTGCTTCTCTGTACTGTAATTCTGTTATTTCCACATGCACGGACCCCGGCTTCCCTCCCTGTAGGCACTTTTTTTAAAAAAAAATCAAAGTCTGAGGATCTGTTCCATCCCTGTCCTGCGGCTGAGCAGCCGTAGCCAGGTTTGCCCCGGGAACTGTCTCACCTTCTGTTCCGCAGCAGGCCACTCTGCAACTGTAAAATCATCCTAACTTAAATCTTGCTGTGTTTCACCAGAGGCGAGATTTCCTTCCTGATCAGCTGCACCGGCGAGGTGGGGGACTCACTGTTGCTATTTTTCTTCTCACCATATTTAGCCGCTCGGTTAGGATATCCTGCTTCCCTTCCAGTCAGCAAAATCGTTCTGTGTTGTGTTGTTCCTCGTAGCCTCGGGATCGCCACGGCCCGCGGGAGCCAGGGATGCTGCCGCCGACCAGGCGGGATGGAGCAGCAATGCAGCCAAGGGAATTCATCGTTTTGGTTTAAGATTTCCCTCGCCGTGGCTCTGGCCAGCCGCAGCACGACTCGCTCAGCTCCGTGGCCGACAGCCTGCCCTGCAGCCCCGAGCTCTTCCCGCCTCAGCCCTGGCGCTGGTCTCTCCCTGCCCGACCTGGTCGTGCAGTTTTGGGGCTGCCCTGGCCGCACGTGGAGCTCTGCTCCCCAACCTGCCCCTCGCCAGGGCCCCGGGACATCAGCTGACACACAACGATTCGCTCTAAAAGAGAGTCGCGCAGTTTTCTTCCTGCAGAAAGCACTTATTTTTCAGAGGGGTTGTGGTGAATCCTCAGGGCACTCCTCGCCCCTGTCCCTGACAAATTCCAGTAGCTGTTTCCTCAGCCCAGGGCCGGGCTGGGCTGGGAGGGAGACGATGTTGCTGGTAGAACAGAAAACGTGCGGTGCTGATGCCACCTAGTGCCTCTGGCCCTGGGACTGGCCGGGGGGACGGGAGCTGGCCGGCTCTGCCCGAACCCCACACCTTTTCGGGGTGGCCAAGGAGCTCCGCTGGACTTCGCCCCTTTTCTAAGCCCACCTGGAGTTCTCTTACTGTGGGAGTGACGAGATACAAACCAGTATCTTAAGATGTTTTGGAGTTGTCTCTTCTGGCACGGGCCTGTTCTCTGGGGATCCTAAAATGCAAAATTAAGCAAAGCCACAAAACTTGAACTTGCTGTCAGAGGAGGTTTGCTGCTGCTGGGCGCTCTGGGATGCTGTGGAGAGGCTGCCGGGGCTCAGCCAGCCGTCGTCCCGTTATCCCTCATCGCTCTCCCAGGCTGCCTGCACAGCTCCGCTTCGGTAACCCCCAAACCCTGCCAGACTGGGCAGGAGGAGGAGAGCTCGTCCTCGTTCGAGCTGAGGCCAACTCACCATCCCGTCAGCTGGAGCAGCTGCCTGGTATTTAGGAGCAGCCCTGATCTCTGATACTAATCAAGCTCTTGCAGACTTCAGAGAAATTAAACCTTAATTCCTCTTTGCTCTTGTGGTTTCCTGGAGCACGGGGTAATTGCTATTCCAAGCGCTGCCAAAGCTGCGGTCTCTGAGTTATTGGATCTTGTTCCGATTAGGGCTTGGCTGGGGCTGGCGTGTGCTCGGGGCGGTGGGATGAGGAGCGTGCGCTCCGCAGCCCACGGGGCTTGTTGGGCAGGAGCAAACGGCGGTGCTGGAAAACCTGAGCCCGGGCCGAGCCGCACACGGCATCAATCACCCCCTCGCTTTGGGAGCTGAGCTCGCCTGCCCGGCTGGCTGTGCCCAGCACGGGCGTTTCTGTGCTTTGCTATCACCTCGCCCCTCGTAAGGCTGAGACCTGTTTCGGGGTCTCTGCTGCTCCCCAAGGCCAACCCACGGCAGCAAAGACAGAGGACTCGTTAACAGGAGCCCCGTGTGAGGCCTCGCTGGCCCTGGCAGGCGGCTGGCGAGCGATGGTGCAACGAGCCCGCGGGCGTGTGCGCCGGGCTCTCGCAGCACCCACCGAGCGGTTTTTCTCTGAACGGAACAGGAAGCAGTTTGCGGCAACCACTGTCCTCGCAGCCGGCGCTGGTTCGGCAGCTCTCCAAGCCCCCGCACCGGGTGCTTTGGGGTGCACGACCCACCCCACCCCGGGCGATTCCGCTGGACCCTCCCAGAGCCCCGACCCTCACGAGGGTGGGAGCGAGTGTCGGGGCAGCACCGGGGCTGCTGTCGAAGGACATGTGGCATGGGAAAGGCGGCTTTGTTTGTGCCGTCAGAAAGGGGAAGCGGTGAGGTGGTTGAGCCAGAGGCCCCCGTGAGCAAACCGGCCGCACAGCTGCTGCTTCCCCGATGAGGCTCCACTTCTTGCGTCGTTCCAGCAGCTGGAGGAGAAGCCAGGGCCGTCAGGTGCAAGCACCCACGGGGAACCCACCAGAGATGCCTCCAGCCCTCAGGGTAAGTTGCTCTCCACACAAGCTCCATCCCTTGACAACGGGGCTGTTACTCATCTTCCTCGAGGCCTCGTGAGGAAGCAGCTGGTCTTGAAGCCAAAAGTCCAAGTGCTGCGTTTCGTTCAGGCTCCCCCCCACCTGCACGCGCTTGAAGGCAAAAAGTGGAGCCTACACGGAGCTTTGCTCTGCTGTGAGTGAAGAGGAGGAGACAAGGCCGGGGTTTAAGCCCCAGTGCGTCCCCGTGGCTGGCTCTGGGGCAGTGCTGGGGGGCAGCTGGACACCCTACGGGAGCTGCTCTTGGCTCCTGCTGCTGCCTGTGCCACAGCTGAAGGTTTGCAAGGACACCTTGGCACTGCCCACACCTGGACACAGGAGGGGTCCGTGCCTGGGTGCCCCAAATCCCGCTCCAAACTGCCCACTCCAGGGCTGGGCACCCGTGTTATCGGGGAGATCAAAGCAGAAGGGCGGGGGGGGGGGGGGTTGTGTTGGGCAGATGACGCTTTGGGTTTTGTGGCCAGGCGAGGGAATTGCTCTTTGTCACTTGCTTATGCATAACACCAGCCCACGCCATGGAGGTGCCTGTGGCCGTTCCCAAACCGGCTGGGCTCTGCTCAGCGAGGCCGCAAGTGTGAGCTGAACAGCGGGGAGCAGGTTTGGTCTGGCTCAGGAGCTCAGAAGCCACACGGGGGTAAAACTCAGCTTCTCCAGCCTAATCGAGGGGTTGGGAGCAAAGCGTGGAGCCAGTCTGGGCCATGGGGCTGGTGCCGGCCGGGAGCAGTGGGCTTGGAGACCTCAGGCTGCAGAGTTTGGTCTCGTGGGGGCAGTTTGGAGACAGCTGAGGGAGCTCCCACTGCCTCCCTGTGTGGGAGCTCTGGGGAGGGGCTTGGAGAAAGGTCCTTGCCTGGGGATGGGACTTGCTGCGAGCTGCAAGATGCTGACGTTGCAGATGGTGCTGCACCTTCCCTTGCAGAGGCTCTGCCACCGCGCTCGAAAATGATGCGCAAGGTGCAAATATCGAGCCTGTGGCCTTAACTCTTTCCCTGCATTGAAGGTGAAGGCGACTTTTACCCAGGTGAAGGTTCTGCCCCTGCAGAACTGCCTTAAAGATGATGGTTTGTCAGGCTGGCAGCTGATAGTCGTGAATGGAGCAGGAGGCTTTGGCAGGGAGGGGAAGAGGGGTTATGGTGTGTTAACTGCTTTGCTTTCTGTTTCTATCTGCAAGCCTCCAGCAGCGTTCAGGGGCTGTGTGTGCTTCGGGGCCACTAATCCCCAGGCTCTGCTGTAGGAAGTCACTGACCCATCACACAGGTGGGAACGCCAGAGACCCAGGAATTTCTCTCTGGCTGCAGCTTCCATCAGCTGATACTTCTGACAAAACACTTGGCTTCTCCACTCCCCCCTTGGCAGCCCCTGGGCTGCAGCCTGCAGTGCTGCCTTAGAGCACGCTGAGCTCTGCCGTGCTCTGGGCTCTTGTCTCCTGCTCGGGCTTCTACCTTGCACAGGGCTGGGAGAGCTCCCAAATGTCAGACTCGCTGCTCAACCACTCCTGGCCATCGTTTTCGAAGCGCTGGAAGAAGAGATGGTCCTTTAAGCGAGGTAACGGCCTCGCGTGCGGGGCGAGCGGTCGGAGCCGTGTGTCGGGAGCTGGGCTGCTGCCGGGCGGTCGGGAGAGCCTGTCCCCGACGAGCAGGTAGCAAAGAATGCTGAGGACCCCGGGCAGAGCTTGGTGTTGGGCACACCCCGCTCCTCTCCGCGGGGGGACACTGCCTAAGTGTTGGTTAATGCTTTTCCTTCGTTTCGTCTTCTTTTCAAGGCACGTCAATGTTTGTAGGAGCTGGGTAATGGGTTAAATATCAGCCTTCTGGTTTTGTAATTTCGTTTCGTTGCTGCCAGAGAGCTGGAGGTCCCGGTGTTTGCAGCCGGCTGTGGCTCCACAGCTGCCTGGCGAGGGCTGAGCCTGTGTTGAGAGTTTGGTGTTTGAGCCGATGCTGGGGAAAAGATCCCGTCGGTCTTTCAGCCAGCAGAGCCCCCGTGTTCAGAGCACAGTGGCGGTTTGTGTGGCACCGGCTGGGCTTCACAGTGTCCCACAGCAGGGACAGAAAGCGCCAGCAATGGTGTGAACTGGCCTCATTCCTGCACACAGTGCTGTGACTCGGGAAGAGGGAAACGAGAGCCCCGGACACGGATGTTTGCAGTCCCGGAGGAGCTGGACGCCGCTGTCCTTGCCTGCAAACACTGTCTTCAGGCTGGTGCTTTCGGGCATTATCTGTCTGCGGCATTAGAGCTCTTGACACTCATTCTCCCTCATTATTCCCTCACCCACTCAGTTCTCTTCTGATGTGGATGTGCAGGAGACCAAGATCCAAACTGAACAGTTGAAGGAAGGTTAATTCAGAGCAGGAGGCAGGGTCGTGCAGGCTAGATCTGCGGTGAGCCCCAAGCAGCTCCCCTGAGCGCGGCTAAGACACCCGCCCCAGCCTCCCCAGTGCTGTTGGTGGGTTATGGGCTCACTGGGAAGGCTCAGGTGGGCTAATTGATGTAATAAATCAATCAGCCTCACAGTGCTTGCAAGCACAGACTGCTTTGGAGAGTGATTTGGAAGAGCCCTCTCCCCCTGCGCGTGCTTGCAGAGCAGTTTGTCCCACCGGGGCTTGTGCTGTGGGCACAAAACATTTGGGTTTCACTCAGCTCCTCTCATGGCACAGGCTTCCCGCACCGTGGCAGCCGCTGTTCCGCGTGGGACCTGCCCTCAGTGCCCAGCAGAGTCACTGGAGAGACACAGTGACTCCTTCTTGTGACTGGGAGAGTTTCAGAGGGGCTGCAAATCCCCCTCCGCCCCGCCGAGACCCTTCGGCTACGAGCGAGCTGCAGACTGTGCTGGCTCCCCTCTCCTCTGGCCCTTTGTGCCCAAAAACCAGGCCTCGAAGGCAGCGATAAGACAGCAGCTCGCTGTACAGTATGTTACAGTGTTGGACAGCTTATCTTCTCCCCTCCTCCAGCCTGGGCTGCCCGAGCCAACCCCCCACCACTGCCAGCGGGCGGTGATGTGGGGCCCAGACCAGGCGAAGGACTGCACTTCATCCGATTTTGGCACAGCGAGTTTAGCACTTGTTTTGCAGAGGTTTTACCCTACAGCTCTGGCCATCCTGGAGAGTGGGATGTAAAGGGCAGCTGGTGTGGAGCCAGCGTGGCCGGAGCCAGCAGGAGACAGAATAATTTTTGTTTCTTGTCCGTGATGCTCTCCGTGGTTTCTCAACAGCCTCAACCCCTGATTGCTCGGAAATGCCCAGACGCTCCGGTCTCCTTCCTCCTGGGATAGTTTCACTTAGCAGAACTGATCTGTGCCTTTGTCCCACCACGCTGGCGTGGCCCTTCCCCAGTGGAAATGCAGAGAGGGTTTGATGCTCAGGATGTGACCGGCACGGTGAGAGCTCGCAGGCATGTTTCCCCTGATGTTTCCAGCTCACTGGGGACCCGCAGCACCCTGAGCCCAGCAGCGAGCAGGCTGGCAGGGCTCGTTCCAGCGCTGGCTGCTCGGATCCTGTTTCCCACTGGGACACCTGTGGGTGCATCACCAGTGAGCAGGCCCGTCCGAGAGGAATCAGCAGAGGCAGTTGCAGGAGGGAGGTTTTGACTGTAGATCTGAATTGGAAGTATTAAAATCTTTGCTGGGCTCCCAGCGGCCTTGCACGCAGTTACAGCAGCATGGAGTTTTCTTCCTTGAGACAAACCAGGCTGCTGATCCCACTGTCCCTACGGCATCGAAGCCCCCGAGGCTGTCTCAGACTGTCACATGCAGCAGATGCCTGTCACTACTTCCTTCCTCCCCACGCAGAAGCCCACAGTTGTCATGTTTTGCCTGTCAGGAAGCTCTGGCAAAGTGCAGCAGAGCCCCACTGCGTGCAGGGACCTGCCTGGCCCAGCCAGCAATGCTTCCTCCCCAGCTCTGCCCTGGGAATTCCTCTGATGAGGCTGTTCCCTGCAGCAATAACCTTTTATGGTTCCCGGCCAGAGATGAATTAAGCAACTGCAATACCTAATCTGCTTAATGTTCTCCTCAAGCAAACAGTGTATGTTCTTGAAAGTCTCATTTTATCATTGCATTTCCAGCTCCATCTGAGTAAAGGTGAGCAGGGGTGTCTGCCAGCACCCGGGGAGCCAAGATGCCCTGTCCCCTCACACCACGCCACAGCTAGACACAGCATAAGTCCTTCCAAACGGGCTCGAGCACAGAGTCCAGAAGACTCGAGGGGCTCCAGAGTTTGCAATACTTGCTGATATAGGGACGTTCACAGCCCCCCCCAGACCTTCCTCCCTCCTGGGCGCACTCCACGCTGATCCTTCCTTGCTCATCATGCCAAAACCTGATGCCTGAAGGCAGTTTTTCCCCTGTAAGCTCCTCCAGCAGCCCCCTTTTCCCAAATTATCCCCACAGCTCAGCTCTGTGCATGGTGCCAGCCCAGCATCAACTGATGAGGGCGTTAGATGTGGGGAGCCCTGAATTGTCATGTCTGGTGCTCACACATTGCCTAAAATGGTGTCCCCATCGCCGCAGCCCCGCGTGCTGCTGCCCAACAGCCACTGCTGCTGAGTTCACCGGAGGCTGGAGGCAAACCTGATTTATCACGTGTTGAACGTGAGTGTCTGAAGTCTCTGAGGAGGAGAGAAGCTGTTTGGTGGGCCTGGAGAGGGTCTGTTGACTGCAGCCTACGTCTTGGCCAAATCCTGAGCCCTGCACAGCACAGGCAAAGCACAGGGAATATTTTCCAGGCCTCCGAAGCGCTGACTCTGTTCCAGGGATTCACTTCAGAGCTGCAGCCTGGAGCCTGGTGCAGGCCCAGAGTAGCCTTGGCAGAATGGCCGGACTCTGCTTCGGAGGAAAAAAACCTCTTTGAGCTAAACCTGCGGGCCAGGGCTTCGGCTGCTCTCAGGTCACAGCGCTTGTCGGCTCCTGCAGCCACATCCCTGCTGCCTCTCAGGGCTTTGCTGCTGTCGCTGCACACAGTTTGCTGCTGCAAGGGATGGCGAGAGCAGGGAATCGCCTTTTTTTTACATTCCTTGGACTTGTATGAGGGGAAGCACCATTTTTCCTGGTCCCCCTGGGACCCTCCTCACAACCTGGTTGCTCCCCTTGGGTCTGTCCTGCCTTAGCCTTCATCCCAGCCTGTTTTGGGGGTTCAGTGGCTTTTACTGCCCGCTGACATCTTTGGCTGCTGTTCCCTACAAGCTCATGCTAAAACTTGTGATGGTTCAAATGTGTATTCACTTCAAAATGCTGATTTTTGATTACAAGCTGAATAGAGGTAATCCAGGTGCACTGAGGAAAGCAAAAGGTGATGTTCAAGAGCTCGCTAAACCTCTGCCAGTTTTACAGAGCTTTATAGATGTTGCTCAAGGATATCTTGAGCAGGAATTTTTCTATTAATTAAAAATGTCTTGTGAAGTAAACTCTACAGCCTTGCTAGAAAGCCTGTTTCAAATTTTCTCTGCTCTTATAGCTAGAAAACGCTTAATTAAAATAGTGCCTTCACAGAGTGCTTTCTTTCTGTATTATTTATAGACCCTCACTTGAAATTACTGCACATATTTAAACACACCAAACACTCCTTAAAACAGAAAATCTGGCATCTGCAGTGTGCAGCAGGATCCAAGGAGCAAACCTCCAAACTCTCTTTCCCATTTGCTGCCTTTTTCTTGTTGGCACCACGCAATTTCTGGCTGCAGTGCGTAGCATTAAACCCATGGCAGGATGCAAGGTTTCCAAGAGTGTGTGTTTTAATAATACCTTCCTCATATTAATGATTTTATACTTGACTCTCCTGGAGTATGATGGGTTTCTAGCAGTTTCTTGCTGTTTTTTCCCATTGGATAGTTATGGCTGCTCACAATCTCTTGCTATTGTTCTCTGCATCTTCAGAGATCCACCACAGTGCTTCGGCCAACAGCCTGGCTTTTTTCCATTCTCCTCAGCTGTATGTATCTCGAAGGAGTAAAAGGCCTCCATGAGTCATGCGATGGTTTGGAGATCGTGGCTAACAGTTCACAGCGTGGCTCATTACATAGGAATGTGCTTCAGTCAGCTGGACGATCTATTGTACCACGAAGCTCGTCCAGACCTTGTTTTTGTTTCTCAGTGAGCTATTGGATAGTGTACACACACTCAGGTTCACACTTGCTTAGCACTTGTGGGGAAAATCCACACAAGAGACCCAGCACCGAGAGAATTAGATGCTCCCACTATTGCTCTGCATATTTGGTGTTGTCTGGAATCACTAATATGCCTCCGATTTGGCCTTCCAGTGGCACCCCTTATTCCTTACGGATGAAAATAAAATCACTGTCAGTATTTTTATTCATAGATTTCTGCTTTAAAGGTCCATAATGTCAGCAACAGTCATCAAAATATGCTGAACTCTCCTGTTTTACTGTGGAAGCAGCCTCTGCAGCATAGGACATCCTACGAGGGTCTGGCTGGTGCAAGCCTGGTCTCTGCCCTTGTGCATGCTGCAGCTCGAGGGATGAGGTTTCTGCTGTTAGGAAATCACTACACCAGGTTCCCCTGGGATCAAGGCTGCCGAGGTCCCAAGATTGCCTGGCAGTGTCTGTGAGGGGCAAGAGAGCAGAGGGCCCTATGGAACATTTCAGTGCTGCCTAATGTCACCTGTCCATGTGTGGCTGATTTTCCATCCCTCCTGGCCCCTGGCTACCTGCTGTGACCTTCTCTGTCTTCCAGGGTCTGACTGCAAGCCATGCTTACAGGAATTCACTGACCACAGTACCCCTGCTCTGGAGTATCCCGATCCCAAAAGCTTCCTCCCATCCCTGATCGCTGAGGATGACACCTTCTGCACCCGCATGGCTGAAGAAAAGGCAAGTGTCCTCTTTCCTTCTCTGTCACCATGAGAGGCAGGAGCCAAGGTTAGCAAACTGGGTGGTCAGTACCATATGCAGAGTGGTCTGTGGTGGAATAAGAATGGGAGAAAGGGGTATGGATCCAGACTATCAAGGAATACAAGGTTATACTGCTTCTGCTGCTGGGAAAATTCATACCTATGTGCTTTGTATTGGCATTAGGGAGAATAAGGCACAGAGAGATCTTAGGGACTGGAGGCCACCTCCACGGGCCCCTTGGCAAGCTGAGCTTTGGGGCTGGGGAAAGTCTGGCTGTGAGTGCTACTATTAGAAAATCTGGTTTGAGAAACCCAGGTGCAGGTGGGCTGTTTGCCATGGGAAGGGAAAGAAAAGCAGCTCCAGCTCTGCACAGGAGGTGTCCCCCTCACAGGATGGGTGCAAGGCTCTCGGACGGCATTTGTGCACTCAAGCGAAGCTGTTGCTGCCTTTGCAGGAGGACTCGTCTTCCACAGAGCTGGATGTCCCAGCAGCAGACTGGCACAGCAGCACGGAGGATCTCCTCTCAGACTCTGCTCTCCATGGCACGGAGTATTACAGGGATCTGGGACTCCTGAGCCCACCAATTACCAAAACAGCACCAGAGACGGCAATGCAGCCAGAACAAGCAACCCAGGGTGTGTCTGCCATTTGTTTATCAGAAGAGAGACCAGGGGCTCTGAGCAAAATGTCTGTGGATGTTGCTTTTTCCAATCCCGTTTCCAGCTCAGTACGTTACGGCGAGGCCGACTGCCATTTTCTGAACAAAGGCCACATTTGCTCCTGCGCCGCGGTGCCAGAGGATGGTACCAGCACTTCTGAATGTCCTGCAGAGGCAGACAAAGAGCTGGACCTGCAGGAAGCCAAGGAATCCTTCCCCACACTGGTGAGATCTATGTCTACCTCTCGGAGGCACAGCTGGGAGAGCCCTTTATCACCCGTGGACTGCAAGCGCAGGTACAGCAGGACTGTGAGCAATATTCAATATATACAGTACGCTGATGCTGCGTGAGGCTGGAGCGATCACACTGCCCTGAGCTCTAGCTGCTGCTGGGTGGTCTCCCTCCCATGTCAGCATCTGCCAAAGCAGTTGGACACCCACTGCTCATGTTGGATGGGATGTGGAAGAACATATGCTAGGACAGCAAGAGGCTTTAATGTCTCCTTGGCAGTAGGAAGACCCTCTTTCCCCCATCTTGGGGCCGGGAAGAGGAGCTCTCATCTAGGGAGAGCTCGTTTCTGTGTGGAGGGAACCTTGAACAACATCAGCTGCCCTGATGGCCTCCATCCTCTGGCTCAAAGGGAACTTTGCCCACCCCAGAGGGATTAAGAGAGCTCTGTCAAATCCTTTTTCTTCTTTCCTGGGAGTTGGCTTGGTGGGGCCTGTGTCTGCAACCACCGCAGTGTCCTCCAGCCCTCTGTCCTCCCCATGGCTGCCGAGAATGGTGTATTTTGTAGCACGATGCTGAGCTCAGGCTGGGCGCAGCTTCCAGGCCTGGCATGGCTGCTGTCCTGTGCTCCTGCCACATGAATGCCTTGGGCTCTGGGTCCCTACATGCATGCTTTCCCTGCTGACAAATGTATTGATCTCCCAGATGACTGGGAGTTAGATGTAAGCCAGCAAGAACTATTTTTATCTCTCCTCCTTATAAGGTACCCTAAAATTATCTCGGCCTGAAATCTTGGCAGTTCTTTATCAAGACCAGACTTTGGTTCTCAGACCTACTGTTGTTCCATGTGCCGGGGATCATTCACAGTTTACTCTGTGTAACAGGCACATGAGCAACAGCAGCACAGAGCGGCTGTCAGCATTAGGGACTTGTTCAGTCCCCTCACTGGGTGATTAAGCATGTGTGAGCACGGGGCCGGGGAAAGGGAATATGCGCCGCTGTCCCCTAGCAAATACTTCCTGAAGCCTGTCTCTGGCAGCAGGAATGAAGTGACAGTGATCTGCAGACAGAACCCATGCAGAGAGTAAGATTTTCCACTGAGACCTATCCATCATTTTGCTCCTACGTTGTTGGCACTGCAACAGCACTTGGTGTTCAGGAAACTGTGGGGCACTGGGGGATTTGGTCCACCCCTCATTTCCCAGAAGAGGATTTCTTTTTCCTTCCTTGAAGCTGGGCCCCGGTGGGAGCAGGATTTATGACATGATGCCACAGTGATGATTCGATAAATGACAATGTCTGCGTTTCTAAATGCCCAGTGGGACCCTCCTGGCATTGAAGCTGAGAGGGCAGCAGCTCTCACGCAGGCGAGGCAGGCTGCTGTCTGGGTGGCTGCTCAGTCTCAGGGGTTGCTAAGAGATCAGCGAGAGCTGTCCGGCACTAAACACCCCGGGTGACCAAGGAGCTGTGGACTCACTGATGGCAGCCAGAGAAGTTGTTTTTAATAGGCTTGGGACTTGGTGTCCAGGCTGACGCTTCCTGGCATTTCCTTTTCCATCTGCCTGCTGTGGTGACGTTCCTTGTCCCAGTTGCAGGAGCTCTTTAGGACTGTCCACCCAAGGCTAGGACATTGCAGGGGCTGTGCCATGCCTGCCACAATAGGACGAGGCTGCTAAACCAGCTTGTTCCTCTTCCTTGAATTAGGTTCAGCCTGGATGCCACAGAGATGGGCAGCGACCCAGAGCAGGAGGATGTGGAGAAGGGGAGCCAGTCCTGCCCGCAGCCTCGCGTGTCCCTTCAGCTGCCCAAAGGGGAACTGGAAACCTGGAGCAGCAGTGGGGGTAGTACGGTGATCAAAGTGGAGATAGAACCGTTGTGCCCGATCCTCATGGTCAGCCCTGGCTTGGAGGAGGCGGTGAGTGTGCGAGGGCTGTGTGCCTACTGGCAGGGGGGCAAGCTGGGGGTGCAGAAGGCAACACATGCAGAGGTCAGCTGCGGGCTGGACTCCTTCGATGCCAGCGTTGAGCCAGGTATGCCAGGAGGTCTGCAGGAATCTCAGCAAGGATAGGCTTTCTCTGCTCCGGGACAAACTGCCCCTTCTTGTAAGATAAAGGCCCTGGGAGCTGGCTGATGCACGGCCCTCTTTTCCCATACATCTAGCTGGAATTTCCCTTGCTGCAACCTGTACCTGTTGCCTCTTGTCCTGTCACTGTGCACTTCTAAGAAGAGTGTGGCTCCATCTTCTCTATAATCCTCTGTCAGGTAGTTGAAGACAGCAGTGTGATCCCCCTTTCACACTGCTTTCCTCTGAGGACTATCTTTGGATTCAATTCATATTAAAGGGACAGTCGGATCATAGTGCTACGTGTCCTATAAAAGTGAGAAGTGCCTAAGAAGGTTTCAGCCACAAGTGCCACTTGCTCCAGCCTCCCTGGGGCCCACACCTGAAGCCAACAGACAGCTGGGCCGTATGTCCTGTCACCATAACCCTGACAAAACAAGAGAGGGAAGGGGTGAGGAGTCAGCCTGTTCCCGGTGATATCTTGGGTCTTGAGCTAATCCTGTGCTCTGGCATACAGGTGCCAAACCACGCATCGAGGAAATCTGCCCCGGGGCTCTGGGGGTGGGCGTGCAGGGTAGGCAGCTGTGGGAAGGCTCTTAAGTCAAGATTCCCTGCCTTACACCTTGCCAGCTGTGCTGTGCCACGATGCAGGCTCCCCTGGTGCACAAAGGACCAAAGATGTCCATGATTTTTTACTCTCCAGGAACATGGCAGCAACAAGAAGAGACTGAGGTCAAAGTCTGTCCCATCAGCCTGTGAGACAGTTGCCTCCCCTCAGATACCTTGCCGTTTTGACACTTCTCTTCCAGCCGTGGAAGGTTGGTATAGACTCTATATATGCCATTAAATGAGTTCAAGGTGTTTGTGATTAAGAAGATAAAAAGCTGGAGCTGTAGCCTCTGCAAGCCTAGACTTCCTCTGCCCTTCGCTTTTACGTGGTCCCAGGAGCTCCCAAAATAAAAATTCAAGTTGACTTTGAGTCTGATCCTGGTTAACAGTGTAGGCTAAGCTCAGCCATGCCTGTCCCCAGTGACAGGTTGCCATAGAACCTCTCCGTGGCTGGTGCATTGGTCGCTCCCCACTCACACAAGGTAAAGATTGTTTCCTAGGAACAAAGGGCACTGCTTCACCTGCCTGAGTTTAAATGTGCCCTTTCTCCTGTACCCCAAAGAATGGGGCAAATATGGTCTGTGTGCAGGCCCCTTCTGACAGCAGTGCCCTTAGCTAACCCACAGTGCACACTTGGCAGGGGAGCAGGCTTCAGGACAAGGCTGTCAGGTTCTGGTTTCTGCACTGAAAGCTGAAGAGCCTTAGGAAAACAGAGGCACCCTAGCCCCTGTAAACTTCATTTTGGCCTTCTCAGTGCTGCTGGAATCCATTAACCTCTCCCACCTGTGAGGACTGTCCCAGAGCAAAATGTAGAGACTTCTTAAGAGCACAGCCTGGGAAGTAGAGGGGAAGCTGGATGTCATGGGAATGGTCTCTGGGGTGGTATCAGCTCCTACTCTCTAGCTACAAGCAGGATCTTCAGTAGTTAATGTAATACAGACTGGAGAATATAGGAGTAACATGGAAAAGTGATGGAGCCTTTGCCTCCCTCACAGAAATGCAGCACAGCCTTTTCCTCCTTATCTGCTCTCAGCACTTCTCTCCCCACTAAAGGCAGAGTGGGAGCCCAGCAAGATTAATGGGGTCCAGTCACATAGATTACAACATGGTGCTCTGCAAAGGCAAACCAGGATCCCTGCTGAGAGTGTTTTGTGTTCCAGGCGTTGAACCCCCTGCTCTGGAGATGCTGGAGAAGGACCACGTGTCCCCAGATCACGTGTAGGTATTGTCAGTCCTGGCTGCTTTGAGATGGCAGAGATTCTTGAGTATATCTGAGCTACTGGAGATGCAATAGCAAAGGATATCCCACTCCATGCTGGGGCACAGCTGAGTAGTTGGTCATAAACCAGCGCCAGATGCTTTGTGGGGTGCAGAATGTCTTTGCAAGGACATTTTCTAATCCCTCACTTTTCTTTTGCCCCATTCCTGGTAGGCTAATTGTCCAGCAGGTACTTCACGAGCTGAAACACTATCATGGGTAAGTGTGTCTGGGGGGAGGGATGTGGGTGGGGAGGTCAGGGTCTGCCTAGGACACACCTGGCAAATGACACTTTGTCCCCTGAGGGGCAAATCCAGAGGGTACCAGAACCACAGTATTCTTCCTGTGAAACTCAGGTAGAATTGCAAGGAGAAGCAGCATTTCATATGCCTCTTTCCAACTCTAAACATGTTCCTGCCCCATCTACAAAGATGAGCCCATCTGCTGACCCAAAAGTTCTCTTCTTGCATTCTTTGCCATGTGTCTGATGTCTTCTCCCTGCACAGGGCAAAGCAGAGAGCTTGTGTGCAAGAAGGCAGCGATTCCTCCCAGCAGAATCTCACCTGGTTTGAGTTCCTGTCTAATGAGTAAGTGAGATAAATGGTAACCCACATACTTTGTGTTCCCAGAGCAGGCTGATTTTGAGCCCCTTCCACTTAAGCTCTACTGCCCTGCTAATACTGTGTGCAGGACACTGGTATCTGCAGTGGTTCAGCCAGGACTGGGGCCTCGTTGTGCATGCCACTGAACAAAACCACAGAGGCAGCCAGAACTCAGGCAAATAATTTGAAAGTTCAGCTCCTTATTTGCAAGTGTCCCATTAATAAATGACATGACTGATTCTGAGCCAGATCCATCTCCTGAGCTGGAAAGCCGAGATGGGGTCCTAAAGTAATGCTTCGGATGAACTTCATCAGTCATCTCACTGAACTGTGCCTGGCCAGTAAACTTCCCCTTAGGTAAGACGGTTTTGGTCTTGTTTCAGAAATGAGGACAGTGGAAAAAGCGATAAAGCAGAGAAAGGCACAAAGGTGATGCGACGTCTGAGTTCCCTGCGGAGCCGTGTCACTGGGTCCTGGCAGAAGGATAAGGTGAGGGAGAGATGCTGAATTTGTGGAAGGAATTGTTGAATTCTTCAAGAAGAAAAGGGGATCTGACCCCAAAGACCAGTTAATTGGGTTGCTTTTGGGTGGCTGGGGCCTCCATACTGATCAGCAGATGCACTGTGACCCCTAACAGAATGCACCAGGCAGTGATCCCCGACTTTCAGCCCACCTTGCTCCAGGGCATGTTCTGGCTGCTCTCATGTTGTCTTGGCATGAGTTGCGCGGACCGAGAGAGGAGTGCTTTGCCTGGATCACCTACGGTGGCAAGGAGGAAAGCCTGCAGAGGCACAGGCACATGCTGCAGGGCAGTGTCCTGCCCTCCCTCACATGTTGCCCTAGCCCAGAGGGACTGGCCCGAGCCTTAGGACGCATTTGGGAAAAGTGTTACCATCCCCAAGGTTCGGGCACCAAGGTGCCCACTGTACTTGCTGCACACCAGCTCTCCCCATGTTCATTTTTACCAGCGGGGAAAGGAATGTGTGGGCTGTGTGAGGCCTGTAACGGAGCTGTGTTTTTCTCTCCTTCCAGGGTAAGAACAAAGAGCAGCCAAAAGAGAAGGAGAAGGAGATAAAGGAGCCAAAAGAGAGGTGGAAAGAGATCAATGGGCACCAGCTTGTGCCAGGGGTTTTCTCCAGTTGCACCAGCTGCTCACTGTGTGCCAAACCTCTTGTGAATAAAAGTGGTCTGCAGTGCCTGAGTGAGTATGGCTGTCGCTGTCTGGCTCTGCCCAGCCTGGCTGCAACCCACTCTCCAGCCTCCCCTCCGGCCCAGGCCGGCCGCTCCCCTGCCAAAATCAGCCTCGTGGATTGCTTCGCTTTTCTGCCTGGCTTGGCTGTACCCCACCACCCTGCTTGGCCTGGCTTGGTTGTTTCTCCAGATAGTCTAAATGAGCTCTAAATCCTGCCTGGCAATAGATCATCCTAATTTTCTTTGGCTACTTGATAATTTCCTGTCCCTTTCCCCCAAGGAGAGGTCTAGGTCAACTTTTCCTTTAATGATTTTTTTTCTTCACAAAGTTCTGCTTTGCCCAAGCAAATACCCCTGCTGCCTGAGTGAAGCTGGATCTTTTAGGCTGTTTTTCACAGCTGCAGTGATGTGTCAGCCCAGCATCTGCCCTATGCATGGGCACAGGGATCTCTAGAGCATCCAGAACTGACACAAAAGTCAAATGGTGCCTCCCAGGACCTGCATGGGTGAGACTGTTGTTTTTCAGATGTAAGCAGTGCACAGGAATGGCAGCTACTCCTTTGCCAGCATGCATGGGACTCTGTCCTCCCACTGCATTCGCTGTGGCATTGCTGCATGGCTTTGGCTGATGGACAAACCCTGTCCCTCCTCTTTGGGACACATACTCAGGGCACTGAAGAACATTTTAATTCCCAAGGGACTGTCTGGGCAGAAAAAATCTTCTGGAAGTGAGAGAATTGCTCTCTTTCTCTGCCCTGTATCCTCAAGCAATGCTTGCTCTCCAGTAAGGGTCTCACAGAGGCTCTTAAGGTCAGTAAAACCTTCCTGGGGCATAAAAAAACTGGCTGCCCTTGGATATGTGCCGTGAGAAGCGTATTTTCCCTTCAGGGCAGCTGATGGGAAAATGAAAAGGACCACAGGCCTGGCTATTAGTGAACATATTTCATGTGTCAGAGCAGAGAGTAGGAAGCAGAGAGCTGAAAAAGAGCAAGTGCTCTGTGGGTATATGGAGAGAACCCAAATGTTAGGGGAGGAAGCAGAGTTACGTTTTGCCATTCCTGTCTGAGGAGCCTCCTAGAAGAGGCTCTGTTTGGAGTCCTGCACGCTGCTTTACAAAAAATGTCTGAACCTGAGAGGATACAGACAGTCCTTGATCCCCAGTGCACCAAGACCTTGGAGCCATGCTCTGGATGGTCTGGGGGACTCTGAGGTCACTGGTGGTGTGAGCAATTCTTCTCTGAACTTTCTCTGGATCTATGGAGATCTGTGATCTGGAATGCAAGGAGTTGGAGCTAGCTGTCAAAATGGGAGTATGGCTCAGCATATCGTCGTCCATCACAAATGCGCAGGGATTGGACATGAGTTATAGTAACTTTTACCTTGTTTCTCAGCCCTTTCATGAGGACTCTGTGTTCTTGAGTCTTGCTAACATTCAGGAGGAAAAATTCCAAGGTGGCTGAGGACTGGTTTGTGTTTGGGACCCTGTGACATCTCCTTTGGCTTTCTGGGTTGCTCAGGGATACACTGCCCAGGCTCATGTGGGTGGCAGAGCAGCAGAGTTCATTTTTGCATATTCCCTTTGTGGTGACTTGAACTGAGGCTGAACAACTGGGCACGGTTCTGAGATGTTCACTAAAATTAATGGTCTGTCTGTGGTCAGATCTGGACTGGGACTTGTTGTGTGACAGCTGTTAAGCCTGAGAGTGCCTATATTTGGATTATGCTGGGCTGAAACCTTTGCGAGCTACTTCTGGGTGGCAGAGTTGACAGTTGATATCACTAATTCCCGATATTGCAGCTGGGAGCAGTGCATGGTCTCCTGACAAGTCACTGATAGGGCTCTTGAAAAGCAAGCTCCGGGGCCACCGTGTAGTCAGAGTGTAGCCTGCTTTTCAGAAGTGCGAGCTGCTCTGTCAGGGCTCAGCCTGAGCTGTAATTGCTGCCAGGATCTGAGGATATTTGGCTGCTCCTCTTGTTTTCCCGTAATGAACTCACACTTCACCATCTATACGCTTTGGCCCTCGGCCAGTTCTCGGTCCATCTCATGGTCAGGTGCTGCTGGTTGTGTTCTCGCCATGGTATTTTTAACTGCAGCACCACCACGTGGTAGGAGACAAAACAGGCTCATAGAAAGGAAAGACAAGAAAAGATGATGGTTAAAGGAAGGGATGAGTTGAAGCCAGGGAGAGGAAGGATGGGGAAATGTTTAGGAAGCCTGAGGTCTTCTCACTGGCCAGTAGACACGAAAAGTCTGGTGGCTTCCATGGCTGTGATGGAATAGAGGAGCTAGAGTTCTTCTTATTAGAGAAAGTAACAGCAGGAGGAATTCTGCTTTTAATTCAGAACAAGGAATCATCATTCTACTAGAAACATGCACATGAGCTGTGAAGAGCGTAGGCAGCCCGGGTGGCCCTGTACAAGGTGACTTGTTTCCCTCTCCCATCTGATTCCACCCATCGATCCTCACAACCCGCGGCACAAAGTCTCCCAGGGAAAGAGGCTGTAGTGTGCGTCAAGAGTATAGATGCAGGAGAGTTGCTGCAGCTCCAGTTTGGGAGTCTCACAGACGTGATGTTAGGAGCCTGGCAGGGATGAAAAGCAAAGAGGAATGGTTGCAGTCACTGGGATCTCAACAACAGTGGCCACCCAAACTTTGCTGTTACGTAAACTTTGAGCTGTGAGTCTCTAAGGTTTATTGTTCACCCAGAAATTGAGAAAGCTCCTTTTGAGCCTTTGCTGTCAAGGGTGGAGAAGGTTCTGTGCCTAAATTAATCCTCTCTTATAAACATGCTTCCAGAGTTTATGCAACAGAAGTTAGATGAATCCCAGGAAAGCCCTGGCAGGAGGAGAGCTCTCCAAGCAGGCTGTGCCATGGAGGAGAGCCAAGGATATGCTGTGGAATATGGATGGCAGGAGGATTACTTCCCTCCTAGCGACTTGAGCTTGAGCGCTGGGGTAGAGGTGGGTCTTCTACATCTTCTTTAGTTGAGAGTTACATCCCTATCACTTTATGGGAAAGATAGAGCCCTGGCACCCATAGGGAGGTCAGATTGACCATCCTCTTCAAAAGGAAAGATAAAGCTGCAACCAAAGCATTTGTTAGGCTTCAGACAAATTCCTCTTCTTTAAGAGAAGGTGCTCAGTTTAATGAATCTTCCTGAATAATACAGGCTGTGCTGGACACCAGACTGTCTACCTGTCCTAGGCTGCTGTAACATGATGACAATGATAAATGGACTGGGAGTCCCACTTGGAATAAATGATTCCTGACGGGAGTTCAAAAAACAGGCAAAACTAAAGCAACTGATAGGCTCTGGTTAATGTGGTTATAAGTAGGATCTAAAACAAATGTGAAAGTGGTCTGCAGCGCTGGTTTCAGGGGAAACACTGACTGAGCTACAAGTCTGCTGACATAGAGTTTTGTGGATCCAGCTCTAGAGGTTTTAGAAAAGGAAGCGGAAGAATATACTATTCTCAGTGCTCTTTTCACTTTCTTTTCCTATCTGGGCAGTATTGCCTTCATCTGGAACATCTCCAAGGTGCTGCTCCTTGCATTCCCTGATAAAAGCTCAGGATCTTGTACACTTGGCTTGATAAATGCATAAGGCTGCATGACAGTAATCTACCTGCTATTCATTCAGTAAGAAATCTTTTGTTATTATAGAACCACATAGGATTAGAAAGTTGGTGCTATTCTCTTCTTTGCAATCCAAATCTTAGCTCTAAGCTACGGTCTTTCAGCTGGCTGCTGTGCCAGATTTTGCATTGATTTTGTGGAGATGCCCTGAGGCCAGCCGCATAAGCACAGCACGTTCTCTCCATGACAGCTGTAGTTGGGCAATCTGCAATGCTTTAATTTTATATTAGAGCAAAGCAAAAAGTTTGAAATGTCTAAGGATTAATCTGGCACCAAGTGACAGCCAGCTGTTTACCCCCAAACCACTTTATTTAATGATTATTTCTCCATAGTGCTGAGAGGCCCCAATAAACAACTGAGACCTTATCCTTACAATCTTAGTCCTGTACAGAAGCAGTACAAAAGGGAACATTTCTGAAAAGCTTACAACTATAAGATGAAGAGAAAAATAAAATCATTAAACAGGTCGCAGTGTGGAAACCAGAAACAATGTTGGTCCTGTGATAGTCTAGGATTTCAGCACATTCCCAGCCTAAATGGTGGCAGGTTCTTTCAAAGCAGCGTGGGAAAGCTGCAGGGTGGATTTTGAGAGGGAAGTTTGTTTTATAATCGCGTATGTTGCATTTTCAAGCTCAACAGGCAGCTTGGATGTGCATGATTTAAAATATGACAAACTTGTGACAGAGATCACTACTGTAAATCCTTAGAGTGAATCACAGATCAGGAGGGAAGGTTAGGTCACGAGCTCTCCTCAATTTTCCTCCCTGCTCAGGGTATTTCAGCAGCCCAGTACTCATACTAGCTCAAGCCTTATCCGTGTCAGGGCAAAGGGTTTTTTTCTTCCAGCAAGTGATTTAGTTACTCCAGTCAGTGCATGAATCTGCCCATAGGGAAGATAATTCCCCTTTGCTTTCGCTGTTTCTCCACACAGGGCTCCTTTGCGAAGGCGTGGGCAGGCACTCAGTCATGGGGCAGATAAGGAAGCCAGCACCCCAACCTCGCCTTGGCAGGAGCGGCAGTAAACACGTTTTGAATGGCAAATCCCACCAGGCTTTTAGTAACGAATGTATTTAGAGCAAGTCCCAGGCGCTACACAAACACATGAGCTATCATGTTAAAGCTGTCACTCGGGATGTTACATCCCATCTGTTAAGGGCCTGTTTAGTCTTTGTTTCCACCGCAGCCAGGCGCTGATGGAAGGCAGGTCCCCTGGAGATCCCCGGTGCTGCGGGGGGTTTGCTGGGGCAGGGGAGAGGCCTGGAGCGGTTCGCAAGTTCGGGGCGGGCGGCCTGGGACCCTCGTCCCCGTCCCGGGAGCGGGCTGAGGGGAAAGCGGGGACCATGCCGCCCCTGAGGGGAGAACATGGGCCGGGGGGCGGCCGTGCCGTCCCTGAGGTGAAATCGAGAACCGGGGGCGGCCGTGCCGTCCCTGAGGGGAGGACGCGGGCTGGGGAGACACCGTGCTGCCCCTGAGGGGAAAGCGGGGACCGGGGGCGGCTGCGCCGTCCCTGAGGGGAAACGGACCCTCCCCTCAGCCGGGCCGCGGCGCGCAGGCGCTCACCTCCATCTCCCTTTACGCTTCCGGGACACGGGGGCGTTTCCTGTTGCTGTGGCGGCGGCTCCCGGGACCGAGAGTACAACCGGCGGCTCCCTGGGGAGTCCGGTAAGAGACCGGGGTGTCAGCGCCCACCGGCGCCCCGAGCCTCGGCCCTCGGCTCCCCGCCGCGCCATCCCCTCCCGGCCTTAGCGAGCCCGACCGGCACCGGCAGCCCCCCTCCCCAGGGCGATGGGAGGCCGCGGCCCGAGGACCGGCCGTCCCCCCCCGCCCCGGTCCCTGTGACGGGGCAGCGCTGCCCCCGGGGCTCCGCAGTGCCGGCGCTGAGGGGGGTTTCAGCGGGGGGAGCCTGCCCGCCGGCCGCTGCCGCCTCGCAACGTCCCGCAGCGGGTAGTTCCACACAGCCGGCCTCCGGCAGCGCGGAGAGACCCGGAGTCTGGCCGGGGCAGCGGGTTTATCTTCCTTTTCGTGACGAACCCAGCAGGGTTTATAGCCGTCCCAACGTTAGCAGCTCAAGGCTTAATCTAGGGGACAGGACGTAGCTTGTGAAGATCCAGTCTTTTATCTTTTAGGGGCTAAAGAAGGAGCTGAAATATTAACGTGTGCGTTAGGGAGGCAAACTGATGTAGCCTGATGTGAAATTGGTTCACTTCGTGCTACAGCTTGAGTCTGAGCATCCCTTATGCTTGTGATAATGAAATCCTGCACCTCATCTTGGTTGCTTACACAGGTAGTACTAGTGCTGCAGCAGTGAGAAAAGTCTGGGATGTAGTTAAAAAGAACTTACATGTGTTAGGGGGAAAGAAGAAATATGAAAACTTTTGCTTGTCCACAATTGTGATGGCTGACACATTTTAAATATACCACTGTCCTGGCATATTAGGGAGAGGAGTGGGAGATAATACCAAGATTGTAGGCTTAGCTTGTATGTGCAGGAAAGGAAACCCAGGTAGCAGCTAGGAGCAGTGATGGATTTTGGAGGAGCTGAAGGGAAACAGGGAGTGATTCAAACAAATTGCTTTCTGAAATTTTCTGGTACTGTATTTGTCTTTGCTGCTCTACTAAATATTCAAACCTTCTAAATACTGTTTGAAGATTTTGTGCTGTGGTTTTGTTACTGTAGTATTTCTGTGTAAAGCCAAGAGAAGAAATAGCTGCTTCTCAGTTCCTTCTCACTCTAAGAAGGGCTTTTTGTAGGTGGCTTTTTTATTTGGCACTTTTTTTAAAATTTAGGGTTATAGTTTCTCTTTGGTATGGTAAAAAAAATAAACCCATGAAACATGGCTCTCAAGCAAGAGCCATCAGACACTGTGTGTTGTAGTTCCACCTAATGTTTACCTATGAAATATTTTAAATACCTTTTATGATTGTCATAGTTGCTGCTTTGGTTCCTGTAGAATGGGGGAAGGGTTCAGGGTGAGAGAATTGAAAAGGTACTCATATTTCTTTTAGGATAATATGCTAATTTTACTTTGCATTGTTTAAAAAACAGAAGCATCAGTTGTTCGGTTTGGGTTTCTGCGCTTACAGAAAACCCTGAGGCCATCAGAAATTGCAGTGTTGGGAACGACACAGCCCCACCCCCCCCCATCCGTCTATCGATATTTTGATAATAAAACCAGATGCAGTGAGAAAGTAATTATAGGTTGTTTTTAGAGACAAGAATGCTTTGACAGGGAAGCTGAAACTTGATAATTTAGCGTTGTTACTCTCTCACGTGGACTGTCTCTATTTCAGAATGTGAAGTATCACGTTTTTGGTTTCTGCCTCTGCGTAATTAGGCGAGTTAGCAAAACAAGTAAACACCGGTCACCAAAGCCACTAGGACAAAGTTAAATCTGCTCTGAGTTCCTGAAGATACCTGACCTGGATTTACCGAATACAGAAACTTCTTCATGTTCCACTGAAACTCCTCCTCTTTCCTGAGGATATTTATCACAAAGTCACTCTGCTTTTCTGGAATGCTATAGTTGTTTGGAATGTTTCTCAGCTGTTGTGTTGTGTATCTCTATGTATAAATTAAGATTTTATATTCTGTATTAATCTTTCATAGGCAAGTTATTCCTTTGTATAGCGTTTCCTTTGTATTGTACCTTGTATGGTATAAAGGGGAAGAGATTCTCTTTGATCCCTGGAGCATCAGACATTTGAAAACAGAAAAATTATTAATTTCACAAGAAAACTATTTTGTCCAGGGCTCTCTTCTGCTGGTTGGGTTTAATAGGTGGTGAATATATCCCCAGCATTAAAATAGCACTTGAACTCCTTGATCATTAGAATCACTGTTAAAAGGTGTCCCTGCCTGAACTTAGTTGTTTCATAGGTTTTCTTTTAATTTGTCATTTAAAAAACACCAAAAAAAATATGCTTGGGGAAGAAAAAACTCAGTAGTTCAATTTTAGATTAATCACAGCAGATCTGTCTGTTAGTTGTAGCTGTTTGCAAATGGCCTTTTAAGAGTTATTTTATTGGGCAGTACCGTTCCAGACCAAAGGTCAGGGTCATAATACTCATAATATCTGGTGAGTCATAGGTTTGTCCTGGAATCCAATTCTGGAAGACATTTATAGGACATTGCCAGTGTCTGATCCACTGGAAGGTATTCCAGCTGGGGGAGAAAATGTATTCGCCTGCCCTTTTTCAGCTAGCTTCATTGCCCTCTTGCATACTGTGAATCAGTGTTATGCTTTTGGGCATTGTAATGTTGTCCAATAAAATGCTCTTAAGTTGTGAATTGGTTTCTGTGAGCCTTTGGGAAAGCATCTCATTAATAAGGAAAGGGGGTTTTATTATACCAGATATTGATTTCATTACCCTTAATTGTGAACAGGATCTTTTATGATGTTTATGAGCCTCTTGGTCTTAAATATTTCTTTGCTGGATCTGGCCCCTGTTTCAGTTAGTCTATTAATGAGCAGTAGGTCACCACTGGCACTGGCCCATGCAGAATGCTTCAGAGGCGGTGACAGTCCCTGTGTAAGCAGATGGGGAATAATGTGATGCTCCCAAAATTCTCAGTCTAAATTCCAAAACCGTTGATTTAAGCCGGAAACAACCGTTTGCTGAGTTTCCCTGCTGTGTGGTGTCAATTGCTGCTGCACCTCTACCTCTAGTAGTGGTGGCCCTGTACCCGTCCGGTTGAGGTAACCCAGCTCCTTGGACCTTCTAGGTGTGTAGGCAGTTGAACTGGTGTTTCAGCACCAGCCAGCACTACGGCCCTTCTGCATAGTCAGTGTCAAAATGAAATCCTGGGAGGATCTGCTTTTCCCTGCCAAATCTTCTTGCAGTTCCAGTGAGTGATTGAGGGAGGAGAAGATAGGGAAGAGGAAGGGAAGAGCCTGGGTGGCATTCCTCTGAGTTTCTAGCTCTGTCTTTCTCAGTATACCTTCTATGCCTCTCCACTTTGAGAAGAGCTTGCTGATATAACTGTCCATTTAATTTTTGTACCTTCCCAAATTCTTGATCTGAATAAGACCAAATGCTATCAGTTACTGATGGTGCATGCAAAAATATTTTTCTTTGTCAATTTTGAGTTTACCAGTGCTCTTCTTCTTTGGATGGCCATCTGTATTTTCTAAGGTTATATATCTGTTATTTCCGTACACCTATAACAACCCTTCATATGTATCTCTGCTCTTAAATGTGTCTCAATGTATGCACTTTCCTGTCACTTTTGCACTGTCCTCTGACCCTCTTTCTTCTCTTTGCTGTTTTCTTGACCCCTGCAGTTCTCTAATACCCTATTCCGAGAGGCTGTGCAGAAAAATAGAGAATGCAAAGAGATCCTGCCTGCAGAAAAAGGAAATCAGATTTACTAATATTTGATTCCTTGCTCTTGTCCTTAATTGGAGTGTACTTGGTTCATCACTGTCTGCAGAAGTGTGTTGAATAGGGAAAGCTGGAGCCTATTTTATAAAATTAAGTATGCTTATAAAACGTTCTGATTCCTCTGTCAGTTTTCAAAATTCTCCTATGTGGACAAAAATAATGCTACTTGGAAATCACTAAGTTAGTTGTATTTCACATAGACTTTTAGAGAATCAAGTCCTTGGATATAACTGCAGTTTTCTTAGGCTTTTCTGTAGCGTTTTCCTGTTTTCTAGTATGTTCTCTGCTGTTGTGTAAAGAACCTTTCAGCAGCATAGGAAACTAATACACAGCACTATTAGCTGTGTCAGCTGATTAAATGAAAAATACTTACTAAGAGTGATACAAGCTGTTATCTTTAACAAGCAAGTGCATGATTTAAAAACTGAAATACATTTTTCAGTTAATATCTCTTTTACAGTTAGCTTAACAAGGTACTCAAGCTTTTGAAGTAGAATTGGTCCTACTAATAATTAATAGGAAAAGAATTATCAAACATAATCACTGAAGATGCGTAAATGTAGGGAATATGAATGTCTAGTTAAAGTTTAACAAAATGTTTATAGGTGACTGTATTACACAATTTTAGATGAATGAAGTGGATTTCAAGACCAGAGGCAATGTCGCGGGGGTGTGGGAGTCAGTGGCTGCATGAGTACTTCCCTCCATCCCTATGCCTGAAGGAAACCCAGACATTTTTCTGTTTCCTTTTGTGTGGGGATTTTTGTCCTACAGTTTACCCTTTGTCTCAAGAGGAAATGGGTTTCCATTGTCAACTAGTTGTTGTGGCATGTCTTTTAACATGCCACAAGGTGATAGACAAAGTCTTACCAATGCTGAAATGATTAATATATTTGATATTCTCTACATAGTTTTAGCAAGCGAATAATTTTGATACATTTTTATCATACATTTGCAGAGTCATGTACATTTGAAATTAGATATAGTGCCTTTTATTTTGTTGCATGGGGTGCAGTATTGGTAGAAACATCACAAATAAGAGAGAAGTTATGGGAGGTGATTGTTTTTGTGGAAATTTTTTCTGTGGCAGGCACTCAAAGTGCAGTATTCTGTTCTTCCCACACTTGTGGAAGTTGCATAACATGTAAGCATCTCTGGGTTTGTGCACTCAGTCTTTCTCTCAGTCTTGTTTTTATATCTTTATTAATTTATTTGTGTTTGAGGCCAAGTAAGAATTTTGCTACTGTTCTCAGATTTACTGTAATTATGGAAAACACTTATAAGTGAGCATTTCACTACGCTAGCCAGGAGCCCTGAAGCACATCACCAGTCTTGGCGCCAGGCACGGGTGATAGTTCTGTTTGGATGAAGAGACCCTAAATAGTTTTTCCTCTGTGCTTTAAACATAAACAGGTCTTTCTCTAGCAACTACGGTATTAATCCTCCCAGTTTTATTCTATTTTCTTTTAAGGTCGTGCCTGAAATATATGGGAAGACACAAATCCTGGTTTTCTTTACTGTCTGAGTTGCTGGTGTCCTGCTTCTGCTTTTGATGAATGAGCTTATTTTGTAAATGACAGAAAGACTGCAGAAAATATTTGACACTACCAGTTGTCGTCCTGTTTTCTCAAGCAGTAGTTATTATAAACAAAAAAAGAAATTGGATTTTACTACACTATAAATGGTGTTATGCCTTTTGGGTGAGAGAGGGCTGCTTTAGTTCCTTTATCTGGAAACAGCTCCTTTGTGAAAATGCTGATGGTGGTAGTTGATGATTCTGCGGTGTGTTTTGAACTTTACTGTAGTTATTTCAGCTCCTACTAATCCTCTATGCAGAAAGACAGCTATTCCTACATAGCCAAATAAATTACTGGCCTTCTTGAATGATATCAATCTTGAATTGTGAGACGTGGAAACAACCTTTGCAGATATGAGGAAAGCAGTGCTCCAGTTGAGTGGGGATGAGGCAGAATACTGTTAGTGCATTCCGTAGTGTTTCTTTGTGCTCGCATGTGTGAATTGCATTATCAGTGATTCTGAATGTTATTGAAAAAGCTTGAGTATTTGGTGTAAAATCAAGAACAGAACATGCACAACAAGGATGCTCACTGAAACACCTGAGCTTTCTCTGCATCTCCTCCAAAATGAAGACTTTTATGTATCACTCTCTTTCCCTAGACAAGAATAATTTAAGACTTTGTGTGTGTTTCAGACTGTGCAGTAAATGTCCATAAGAACTGCAAGAGTTTACTGGCTGAATGCAGCAACACCAGACCCAAGGTGGGATTTAAAATTTGTTCTTCTTCTATAATAACAGTGCTTGACATAGTAAGTCTAATTTAGTGTGAGTGTTTTAATTTACAACAGTACAGAATCTTGCCCTACATCTTCAAGACATCAAATAGTTATTATTATAGTAATTTATTACAATGTATGTAGGGAAAATAAAGTGAAACTTTTTATCTCTGTACTGAAAAATACTTACCATTGCTTGTGTCTGTCAGAACTCTGACAAAAACCCTTATGAGAATGCTCAAAGCCACCACTTTTCTGGGGAACATAATTGAATTATGTGGTAACTCTGAATTTTATGCCACTGTGTTTTAATAGGATGTGCCTAAAGCTGATAGAAGTGTGGCAGAGCTGGAGGGGAATTTGGTTATAACAGTTGCATATTATTTATAAGCTGAGCAAGGAAGAAGAAGAAGTTATTAAATTTTTGAACTGTGATGAACTTTGTATCTTGCTAAGCTGTTAATTTTTCATCTGTGTCATCATGGTGCCTGCAATTGCATGTAAGGTCACAAGTTGGTTTCAGATAGCTGTCTGTGTCATTTCTTTATTTTGGTATTGGTCTTGAAAATAATTTCCTCCTCCTTATAACTAATTATACTTGAGGGAGTTTTAGTTTGTTTTAACCTGCAGTGTTGATGATTTCAGAGACTGATAGCAGATTAGGGAGGGCTTTGAAGGGGAAAAGAGAGAGCAGAACAGCTCAAAGCTGGACAATTAGAGGTTAGAGGGAGTGCTTGCAGCCACTGATGATTTAGAATGTAACTCTTTTGAGGTCAGAAATGTTCTTGTGGGGTTTTTGATATATACTTTTAAACTTTGCAGAGCATTGTGTGTTTGCCATTTAAACTGAAACGTTCACTTGCTCTGATGCTTTCATTTCCACTCCTTACCGTCTCCCAGACTTTCACAGTTGAATCAGCCCTGACAAACCTCTCCTGAAGAGAGCAAAGAGGGAGCGGTAGCACAGAATACTATAAGGAGCGAAGTCAGAAATGAGATCCTCAGAGTGAAGCAGGACTCCAAAAAAGCCATTTGTTGCAGCCTGTATTGTTTAATTTCTTTGCATCTTTGATAAATTCCAGCTCAATGAATTGTAATATCCTATTGTTGTAATAATGAGAAAGTTGTACAGATTACCAAAGATGCAATTTTAAATAGGCAGTGTAAATTTTTGTTGAAACGGGCTTGGTTAGCTTAGTATTGCTGTAAACTAAACTGCAACAAAGTGGAGGTGAAGGCTGTCTACACAAAGGGTTTGCTTTCGTTTAATAAATTATTTATTATCATAGCTTTAATTCAGCTGTAACTTAATTTTTGGTTCTATTTCAGTCTGATTTATACTCAATGGGATTTTTATACAGAGTGTTAATGTCTATATGTCATTCTTCTGGAATGTGAAAAAATCAAAACTCTTACTATGTCAAATCTTTTATATTTTCAGTATACAGCTTCACTTACAGCTAGTGTTATGTGATGGGAAAATATGATTCATTTTGGACTGAAAGTTTGGTCTGTATGTGTAAGAATATTGTATTTTTTCCTATAGCAGAAAGATTTGCAGCACAGACCTTCTGGATCACCACAAAGTTCGCCCCAGTACATTTCCCCAGGTTTGTACTAAAGAATGATTTCTGTGCTCAAGGCTTATCTGTTTGATTGTGTTTTTTTCTTTAATATGTTTTAAAGGCTATACACAGTGTGTTATTGAAGTATAGAAAAGGTCTCTTTTAATAAGATGGTTTCATTTTTTTTTCTTTTGGGAATGGCTTAGAGGCTCCTAGCAATCTCCTGTGTGTTTTTATCTTTTTATCTTTTTATTTTTCTTTATACCTTCTTGCTGTGTAACCTCAAAATATCATGGTGAAAAGGGATCAATAAGCTAGGATTTCATTGATTGTCTATTCTCTGGCCTCTGAAAAGACTAGAACTGTGAACTTTGTTTTACATCAGATTTTCATAATTGTCTATTTAAAACTTGCCTGCAGCTAGTGGTTGCTAGAAATCTCTAAGACAAGCTAGCACTAATGGTCTGAACATAAATCTTTGTTGAAACAAAGTGGGAAGACGGATCTGGAAGAAAAAAAAAAAAACACGGGAGAAAAGAACAGCTCTATTACAGCATAGGCTTTGAAATAGCTTTTTGCTACTGGAAAAGACCATCACAGCCACAGGTGTATAATTTACATGGCATTTTAATTTGTAGATGTTACAAGGTCTGCATTAACAGAACAGGCTTCTTGGCTTTCAGGTGATTGACTGTAACCAGAGCAGAATTATTTTCTGCCTTGCAGCAGGTCTGTTTGCTTGCTTTGATGGCTGTAAGAAACACAGTTGACAGGAATGTCTGTGTATTACTATGTGTGTTTTGTATGTTTTTGTTAGGCATCATTTGACTTCATTGAAGGAGTACTTCTTTATGAAACGATTCTTACCAAGAGGTAGTGCGAAGGAAATAATTGTTATAAGAAGATAAGTGGCTGCTTGTGTTACCGAGAATGGTTTTGTGCATTTAGAGGAAAGTGCAGAGGCTAAAATAGGAAGCAATAAGGGGTAATGAAAATAGGAAAAGTTGGCTGTAGGGCTTGTCGTTGAAACAGCTCTGTGGTATACAGTCTGGTCTGGTGTGATAGGTTACAGCGATCAATACGGACTCTCAGCAGTGTGCAGGCAGTGCTAATTGAACTCAGAAAATGGCTTTTTGGTGGTGCAGACTCTGCTAGGCAGCCAGTACTTATTTTCCATAGTCAAAAAGCAGGTGGAAGTTAATAGCATGGGCACCATCTGTCTTTACCCACAGTATAACACTGCAGATTGCAGTGCCCAGCCAAAAAAAAGCCGAAGGTATTGTATCAATGTAAGAGAAATACATTTTAACAAAGGTAGAAACTGTGGTGTTTGTGTCTCCTCCAGCCCTCTCCCCATGTTTTTCCTCTGGAGATTTTTAGATTTGGCCTAGTATTGTGAAACAGAACTTTATGTTCCTGGCTTGTGGAGCACAGAAGAACTTGATGGCTGATGATTTCAATACTTCTGCAAATGGAAATGGGAGGACATTTATTATTAAGCCTTTGAAAATTCGCCTTTACAAATCTTGCTAATATCTAATTAGTCTTCTCTTTCAGGACAATAGGCTTGAACACATCACTTGGAGATGACGGAAGAAGACTCAGTTTACCCAGTTGTTGTAAACTGAGAATGTACTGTGTATGTAGTCAGGAGATTTCAAACCCAAACAGGTTTGGGGAAAGGTATTTTTATCAGGAAAAGATGTGGTGGTATAATTTCTATTAAATGTCATTGATGAAATCTCCCCGGCAGCCCTAGTACAGTTCTAGTCAACTGTTTCAAGGAAGATGAAATGAGAGACAAGCAGATGTAGAGTATGGGATACCAAGAAATGTGGAAAAACCTGTTTCATTAAGAAGAAACATGAATACCTTGATTTAGCAGTGTTCTGTTGAGTAAGGCAGAAATGAAGGGAGGAATAATTGTTAGTAGAGGTACACCGAGGAGTGCAGACTGAGAAAGGGGAACTTTTGGGGATGGGTAGATACCAGTGTTTCTACAACCAAAGTTGTAAATTAGCGATGCATAAATCTTTGCTGGGAACTGGACACCCTCTTGAACTGCTACAACAGTGTGGTCCTCGAGCAGCCTCCCAGATGCAGAGCTGGAAAAGGAGTTCGGTCTGGGTGTAAGAAAAAGCTTGCCTGCAGTGGCAGGGTCCTAGGTCCAAGGATCCATGAGGTTTCATCCACTCCCATGTCCTTAAAAGCACTTTGAAAAAAGGGCAGCTGCAGACCTTGTCAGTGATTAGTTTTAAAGATTGTCTGGCTGATTCTTCATCTTTGACTTCCCTGAAGTTCCTTTTTTTAAAAGAATGTATTTTGTCTCCTGTTCCTTATCATTCATTGCAGACATTAGTGCTAAATAATTGTATCCATTTTTTATAAGTCTATTACAGGCTTCCATGTATTGTGTAATAGTGATTAAAATTTTAAATATCTTTCCAGTTCACAGTCTGTCTAGATTTAAAGAGCATTTAAAAGCTGCAGTATTAAAATTAAATTTAGCTCTGGTATCTATTATGTTCAGTGTGTGTGCATGCAGATATAAATCACTGTGTAGCAATAAGCATTGCAAAGAACTTGTGGTTTTTATGTGATCTTAGATTTTTCTTGTTTGCCATGAAATGTTCTGTGCCCTTATACGGTAGGGTGTGAATAATTGTGTGTAGGTTCTGGTGTTTTACTAAAGGAGAAGATACTTTGCAATTTCCACACTAAATGGGCACAGTAGGGACCAATTTCCTGCACTTCAGACCTGCTGATTTAGCCAATACAGTAAGTTAAGTGGCAGCTTTACATTTCTAGAAGGATCACAGGTAGTATAAAAACAGTGCATCTCTGGGGCCACTTTACTGTGCCAAGTCTGAGGGCAGCCAGTAGTGAGCATGGGGAATACAAATTCAAAAAGCAGCGGCAGAAGCAATACAATTCCAGCTCATCCTGAGCTGTCTTTTTGTGGTTCCTTTTCAAGAAAATGGAATGAGAATGTTTTTTTGGACAATGAGCTCTTGACATCCAAGATCCTGTCTGTTCTCCGTCCGCATTCAGAGAGAGGTTTGAGAGCAGGCGATCTGCAGTGTACGCCTCATTTTCTGAGTACCAATTCAATTTTTGCCTCTCTAGCCGCTTCTTTGAAGGAGCAGCCCCGAAGTCTTCTCTTGGGACCGGATGGCACCCCAGTACTGTCACGGAATCTCGGTATGACTATCGCCCAAAGAGGAAATTCTCAGTCTTCATTGAATACTGCTGGAGCTGTTAATAAATTTGGGTAAGCACAAACTGCTTCTCTTCTAATTCACTAGCTTCTGCTGCCACCCCTCACCCCCCCACGCCCCTCCAATGTGAAAAGAAAAACAACTACAGAATTAAACCAAGAAATCACATTGGTTTTCAAGCTCAAAAGAGATTTATTGAGCTTTTAATGCTGAAATTAATTTCCCTCAACAGTAAGCTTTTTTGTTGTTGTTTAAATCACCTTCTCTTTAGTCCCTCTATACTATGTCATGAAAGATATATAAAATAGGGCAGTATTGGAGCATCTCTGTCTAGATTATGGTTTTCATGTGTATATTTAATAGTCTTTAGACTTGTTGAAATTTGGTAATCTCTTCTTAGTTCAGTTATCCTAGGTTCTGCTGGCTCTGACTAGTGTAGGAGACAGCAGTGTTTTAAATTGCAGGATACCTTGATTAAAGTAGTAGACAAATTTAAAGCTATCTGCTGTTTGAAGTAGTTGTTTACTTTTTGTGTGCCACAGTTATGCTTCCTTCTCAGTGAAAGTGCCCTTTGTACTCTGTGGCTGTGGCTTGTCACCAGGCGATGTCTTTTTAAAATGTCATACCAGAAGTTGCATACTTGCTCATGCTGCTCTAATTAAAACTGTAATATTTCAGTGATGGAGTTGCTAAATTGATTTGACTGTTCAAACTTGGAGTGCAAGGATAGCTTTTATATATTTAAGTGAATTGCACTATTAAAAAAGTGAAAAAGGAAAGATGCTTGTTAAAGTAGTTGGATTTTGTTGGGGTTTTTTGTTGTTTCTTTTTTTTTCTTTTTGTCAAGCAACTTAAAAAATGTTAATGTTCTGTTTTGGTCCCTTGGTCTAATTTCTTTGACCATTTAGACTAATTTCAGGAGACATGGATGAAGGGGATTCAGGCTTTATAAAATTTAAGCAGACTTCGGATGACGTTGTCTCGCTTGCACCTTCAACAGCAGACTCCATTTTTCTGGAAGGTATGGAATTTCTATGCTTTTCAGGATTTTTTAATGCAATTTCTTACACAGTCTTAAAGCAGCACTGAGATGTTTTCACTGTTGTTGCTATTAATGATAGTAATGAGAGATATGGTGGGAAACAGTGATAATTGAAATTGAATGTGCTTTTGGTCTAGATGCATATTCTGTATCCCTTCGAAGTGAAATAGAAACAGATGCTCATGAGTTTGAGGCAGAGTCTTGGAGTGTTGCAGTGGAACAGTCTTATGCAAAAAGACAAAAGAAAGATGTTATAAAAAGGCAAGATGTCATTTATGGTAAGAGTATTTCTTATTCATAACTTTTTCATAGTGCCACTGTTTTGAAACAAAGCAGAAATAATTTTTATTGTCTCCCATTTTGACTTGTGCTTGAAAACTAAAATTGCGTGATGATTTTTGAGTCTGTTACCTGTCTTAGTGTACATAAGTCCTCCTATTAATGATTTTATGCAATCCATAGTTTTCAGTATGCCTCTGTCAGCAGCAAAGCCCAGCTATACAATTAAGGAATAGTTCAACTGTAACTGGGAGATGTTGTTAAATAAGTAGGGTCAGACACTGTTTGGGAGATTAACAGGCCAAATTTAGGAGCTTCACATCAGTGATGCAAAGACTGTGGTGAAGAAGGTGGTGCCAAAGATGATGGCTTTTGGAGCTTGCTCTTTTTTATCTTGCTAGTCACTGCACAGCATATAAATTACTTTTGGTTTTTTTTTTTTTTTTATTTCCCCTTGCCCAGAACTAATGCAGACCGAAATGCACCATGTTAGGACACTGAAAATAATGCTGAAGGTGTACTCCAAAGCCATGAGAGAGGAACTGCAGTTCCCAAACGCAGTCATCAACAAGCTCTTCCCCTGTGTGGATGAGCTGCTGGAGATGCACAGGCAATTTCTGCTCCAATTAAAGGAGCGGCGAAAGGAATCCTTGGAAGAAGGCAGTGACCGAAATTATATAATCCAGAACATTGGAGACCTCTTGGTAAAACAGGTGTGAATTAAATTCTACCAATGTTGTTGACACTATTACATTTCTAACAGGCTAACTGTAAGGTTAAAGTTACATAAAGATTGATTTAATACTGGGTTTAAGGTTATCTTCCCAGTGTAAGCATGACTCCTGGGAACATATCTGGTCACAAATAATATGAAATGTTCATTAAATGTTCTTTGGGCATGTGCGTATGTATGCTGTGGGATATGCGACTGCAGATGGTTTGGTTCTATTTTTCCTCTGTTCCAAAAGTAAAGTAACATATTCCTGTTGTCAATCCCAAACAAGGCTCTCCTGCATTTAATGCCGAGCTTCTTGGTTCTGACTTTTTAAAAATGCAGTAAAGATCCTATCAACTTATTACAGCTTGAGCACCCATACTGGTATGGAGTGGATGCAACATTTTCATATATTGTGACCATTTTTTGCCCTTCACCTTTTACAGTTCCCAGTCTTCTTAAGTGCAGAGGCTCAAAAATACCTTTAAAAATTCTCATAATAACAACCATCATTTAATATTTTATTATCTTGAGGTATTCCAAGCTCTCAGATGTCACGCTGTGTAAATATCTTATTTCTGGTACAGAAGAAATTGAAACATTGAAGAAATGTCTCAGAACTTAGTTACCATAAAGCCGTGTTAAACCTGGGTCTTGCAGTAGGTTTATTCTTAATGATTCATGTCTTTCATTCTTATATTTCCAATTAGTTTTCAGGTGAAAATGGGGAAAGAATGAAAGAAAAATATGGTGTATTCTGTTGTGGACATAATGAAGCTGTTAGTCACTATAAAGACCTGCTCCAAAGCAATAAGAAGTTCCAAAACTTAATAAAGGTAAAAAAACACCAGAAGTCTCCCATTCTGACTGTGCAAAATATACTTAACCACTTCAGGTTTTATTTTGTACTTGAAGATCTCTAAATTTAAATGATCAGGGTTAGAGGTGTATTCTCATTATTTGCTGGGTTGATAGCTTCTTGTATTTTAGATCTTTTGGGCTGTTTGGACACAGAGCCACAATTAGCAGCTGTTAAATTTGAGGCAGGCTCTTGAGAATGCATAGGACTGGGGAATAGAGTATTTGTTTTATTCATAGGTCTATCACTGACTACTGTGTCACCATCTTTTTAAATTGGCTTGATAATATATTAAATTAATGACAAATGCTGTTGATGAACTACTATAGCAAAAGCAGGTACTCTTAGTCAGGTTTTGCCCACTATGTCATCTTTCCAAAACTAGAAAATTGGCTCGAGCGCGGTTTGTTTATCTGCTGCACACTGTGATGTGCAATTAATAGGAAGGGCTGAAGAGACAAGGCCAAAGTGGAAGCCTGTAACCTGAATCTCAGATGGCATTGCACAGTCCTAAGTATTCTCATTTTCCAGTCATCAGTAAGTGATACTGTGTGAACTTTCCAACATAGCTCTATACTTACAGCTCTTCCTAGCTAGGTGTCTTTAAAAGTAAGAACCCTTTACTTTCAAGGAACTAAATAAGTGACCAGAGTTTTAATATATATTTATATACAAAAATATGTGTATATATATTAATATATTTAACTTTGTAAAGAAGGATCCTGGTACTGTATGCTACTGCCAGGATTGTGCTGTACCTGCAGTCAGAGTAACTAGTGGGATTCTGATGCTTCACAGTCTTCCTTTTCTAAACAGACACGTGTTTCTGTAGATCAGCCTACTGGTGAACATACAGTGGTAAAATAAACACTTTGTTTATACATTATTGACCCAATTTGGCTGCTAGGTATCTGAGTCTGGTTTAAAACTACGGTACTTTTCTGTGTATTTAAGGACTGGTCCTATTATAAAAGGCCAGCAACTATAAAAGTTAGCAAATAGGTAATCAAACAGTTCAGATTTTGAACTTTCTCTGCTTGGCTCCAGATTTAGTTAACAGTAGTTGAAAGTAATACATAAAATATTTTTCAGTTATAAAAGCCATTTTTTCAGCGTTATCAGGAGTTTTGCTTTAGTGAGAGTGTGCAGCTAATTTTGTGGTGCTGTGCCTAATTATAGAAAAATGTTCTGAGACAGAAAATGTGTGAATGGAGAGGCAGGGGAGTTCAAAGAACAGTATATACAGTGGATGTGATGAATCTGTCTTGTTTTCTAGAAAATCGGCAACTGTTCCATTGTGAGGAGACTCGGTGTTCAGGAGTGTATCCTCCTGGTTACACAGCGCATCACCAAATATCCAGTCTTGGTGGAACGTATTATTCAGAATACAGAAGGTAGGTTGTTTAATCTTTCCTAGAAGCCTCACAATTGTCGGCTGGTCCTTTCTCTCCTGTTTTGCATGTTCTTTCTCCAGACAAGGAGGGACAGGCTGTTACTGCCTTATAGCTGCTTTCTCACTTCTTCATTAGCTGAAGGTGCTGTTCAGATGTAGATCCAGATCAGTCTCACCTCATCAGAGGGTCAAGAGCAGCGTTCAGTTTCAAGTCTGCAACCACAAAACCATAATAGTTAAACATGTCAATTCATGAGAGATTTAGAGCTCTAGGGATATTTTTATTTTATTTTATTTTTATTTTATATTATTTTTAAACTTAAGCTCTTAGGAAGTACTTAGGAAGTACTGTTCAGCATTGAACCTTTGTGTTAAATACATTTGGGTGGCTCAGATCTTGCATTCCAGAGTTGAAAATGTAACTGACTGCTACTCTTTTATCTTAGCTGGAACAAAAGATTATGAAGAGCTGACCCAGGCCCTTAGTTTAATTAAGGACACAATCACGCATGTAGATGCCATGGTAAATGAGTGCGAGAAGGGGCAGCGCCTTAAAGAAATTATGCATAAGATGGAGCTAAAATCATCTGGGAAATGCAAGAATGGGCTTTCTTCCGGAAGGATGACATGGGACAGAGGCGGCTTCTTCTGGATGGGATGCTGTACTGGAAAGCTGCATCAGGGCGACTCAAAGGTATGGGACCAGGAAGGGGGAAAGTACAACTAGGAAACAAGATTTTTTTAATTTTTTTTTTAGTAACTGTTTATTACTGATCGATTGAGCATAAAATGACAATAACCTGCTTGTTTAATAGGATATTGGAGGAAATAGCACTTGTGCTATTCTTAGCTTGTCCAATAAGCATCTCTGTAATGGTACATGATAAGTTCCTTATGCTGTTTGCTTATTATCTCTCTGATCTGCTTTCCAATTCAAGAAGGAGGTCTTAAATAGATGACAAAGCTTTGAGTCATACTGACTTAGTCTCCTGTGGAAAGGCATTATCTTGTGTGAGCTCTGGTTCACACTTCGAAAGATTGTGTCATGTCAACCCCACGGCACCTTCATTCTGCATAATGTCTGTTTGTCAGAAAATCAAAACAGTGTCCATTAGTGAATATTTTAACAGCTTCATTGCTCAAGTGTTCAGAGAAGCTTTGGTGGCACATAAAATGGAGCCAAGAGTAGGTGGTACTGTGAACGGCTGCAGTTCCAGAAGAATCTGCTGTGAGGGAGACATGTTCCCTCTTGAGTGTTTGAGTCAATGTGTAGGATGCTGTGTGTTTTCAAGCTTTAAATCAGCTCTCTTTGTGTTATGCTGGTTCTGCATGACTGCCAGCTGTCTGTGGACAAGCCGAGGGGAAGGCAGTAGCAGACCCAATATTGCAAATGTTGACTTGCTATTCTCTGACCTACAGGAAATTCAAGTCAAGTGATTTTTTTAGTCTCGACCAGTCTTTCTGCTTTAAAATCTTTTTTTTTTTTTTTTTTTTTTTCACTTCTCTGTTGTTACTGTAGATATTCTGGCAGTCCTGTTAACTGATGTGCTGTTGCTGTTACAAGAAAAGGACCAAAAATACACGTTTGCATCAGTGGTAGGTATTGTTCTCCTCATTCAATATATTCACTTAGAGTATTTATGAAAGTGACAGTAACTGCAGAAGAAATACAGTTAGAGATGTTAGACACTTGTTACCAGTTGGTTCAGAAGGAAAATTGAGTTAATAAACCAGCCAGCTATTATAGAATCACTTTTTTTGAAGCAGTTCTGGTACTTGCTGAATCCCTCTTGCTGAGACAGTGCAAAATAGTGTCCCTGTGGATCGGCCAGTTCTGGCTGCCACATCTCCTTGGTTTTCTGAGCATGTTCTGAGGTTCACTGCTTCTCCTTTTCTTGTGCTGCAACTTTCTCTGAACTTTGTTACGCAGCTGTTTTATGTAAGTCATATATGTTAAATATGCTAGAACTGTGCTTTGAAAGGCACTTGCAAGTAAGGCCTGCTTCTGTTTGTTAATGTGCAGGGAAAGAATCTTCCATTTCGGCTAGGGCTGTGGTAGCCAGGATCACATTAGCGTAAGATTTAGTGGGGGCAGAGAACTTTCCTGAAGTAAATAAGCCCTAAATGCAGATGTAATTAGTGCAGCATTCTAGAACATTCAGTGGATACGGTTGCTTTTCTAGGGCATTTCCACAGGTATCCTCAGAGCAGTTAATTGTGTACATTTTGTCCCGATCTGGTTCAGTTATGGCTGTGAGAGAACCCGTAACAGAGATACTATTTTTTGTAATTGTTTTCTTGGGTGTATTTTTTTCAAGACATTAACATTAGAGCTGAATTCTAATGGAAAAAGCTATTTTGGTGACCTCAGAGCTGTAAAAGCAACTGCTTTTCAAATTACCCTTCCTCTAATGCACAGAATGGGGATACTTTCACAAATCGCAATGGCTGGAAGTTGTTTTCTCTTGAGCAGCATTAAGTGAATCTTTGAACAATAGTTCATTTTATGACATTGACTCTGATAGACTAATTCTGCCCTGTTTTCCAAAATGTATCTGAGCTCTGAGCAGAAGAGCAAGTTCATGGAGGGGAAGAACATACTGTTAATGTACAGTGTTGCGGCAGTTTTCTGTATGACTGCTGTTGCTTTGAGATAAGTGTGAGTAGCTTACATCAAGGCTAAAGCATTGTCCTCAAGAAGTAAGATCATGCATATATGTTCCTAGTCAGTATAGCTGTTCCACTGCAAGGTGGAACAGATAAGCCCTGGTTTATATATCCCCTAGTAACTTTTCTGTGAGCATGTATCCTACAGTTGCTTGGGACAGTCCCAAAAGCTGATCTCTTCTATGGTGGGTTTTTTCCCTCCAGTAACATGCTCTACAGTTGTACTCATCAGTGTTTTGCATCTTTGTATGTGTACAGTTTATTTGAAATGTAGATATCACTTCTCCACAGATAAATCAAGCAAGTGAGAGGAGCAAATGGGATCTGCTCAAGGATTCTGTTTTTTCCAGTGACCTCTGTCCATAGCTTGAATTACAGTACAGTGGCTCAGAGAAGTTGGCAAAACAAAGTGTTCCTGATGTTTGTTTCACAGTTCAGTTTTCTTATTGTCGCTAGATTATGCTGTGAAGGTTCAGCAGTTAAAGAGCTGTTTTCTTCTGTGGAGGATCTGTGTAGGTTACATATATTGAACCTATGCTGTGTGAACCATAGATGGGTTTTTAGTAACTAATATCCCTCCTGTAAATTTGTTTTCATTGCAAAGACTGACAGCTAATCCACTTCATCCTTAATTATACAATATACTGTCTGTCACCTTGTTTTATTGTTCACAGGGCCTGATGGCACACTGTAACACCTCTGTGTCTTTATTTCTTTTGTAGCTAACTTGCCAACTTAGATCTTCTAAAGCTTCTTTTTATTTTCTTCTTTCACTTCACATGTGTCACTAAGGTTTTTGTTTTCGTTTTCAAACTTTGTTTTCTCCTCTTTTTGAGCCTGTTCTTAACTTCTGGCACCCAGTGGGAATCCTTAGGTGTTTAAATTGATGCATACTTTAATATTCAATCAGGTACCAAGACCTCTTGTTTTTGAAATGTACATTCTGTTCTTCATTCCATGTTTTATCTGTGGTTGACAAGTTAAAAATTACAATGTCAGAAGTGTCATGTGAAGAGGCCATAGCAATAAAGTTATAGTGCTGCAATGTTATGGCTCATGGTGGCTTTGTATAAGTAGGAAGGCAGGGGGAGCTAGGAAGCACAAACCCTAAAGAACATATATGATGTAGTGTGATAAATTACATTTTGTTTTACAGGACTCTAAACCACCCGTTATCTCATTGCAAAAGTTGATTGTAAGAGAGGTAGCTAATGAAGAAAAGGCAATGTTCTTAATTAGCGCTTCCTTAAAAGGACCAGAAATGTATGAAATTCATACAAGCTCGAAAGAGGAGAGAAATTCCTGGATGGCGCACATCCGCAGAGCTGTAGAAAGGTAAATGATGAGTGAAAGTGGGAGGGCTTGATTTCTTGCTCATCTGTCTTCTCTTTGCAGGACTCACAGGTGTAAATTTATTGTAAAAATCCATTTGAATATCCCTAAACTTCCTTTGTAAGACCAAAGCATGCAGTTCTGCTTGTGTTCATTGAGAAGCTGCCACTCATAAAGATGCAATAAAAAAACATCCAAAGACTTTATTCTGCTTTTTTAAAAAAAGAAACAAAAAAATTGGTTCACTGATGTCAAGTGCAACAGGGCTTTGGATAAGGGAGGAAGATTGACACACAAGATAAACCACATCCTAGGCAAAAGCTTCTGTTGAATCCTGAGATGATTTTATCTAACATGCAAATCAAACATATGTATGTGTCCTGCTTTGTACAGTTGTCCTGATGAAGAAGGAGGAACATTTAATGAACCTGAAGCAGAGAGGAGGCTGGCTGAAGCAAGAGCTGCTAAGTTGAAAGATTTTCAAGGTAATGACTTAGTTATATATTCCATGAACTGCTTCTCAGCATCATTTGTGATTTATGAGTGTCTTGTTCCTTTATCACATAGTGTGATCAAGTTTCTCCTTCATAAGTCTTTCAAGGTAGTGCAAGATTATATAGAAATCATTAAGTTAAATAAGTCTAATAAGCTTTGTATGTTCCATGAGTTTTCCTCTTAACTGTTAATTATATCTCTGCATTTGATGCTCTGACCATAAAATGAATAATAATCTTCCAAATTGAACATTATACTCTGATAGTGATTAGGAAGGCAGAACTGAGTTTGTTTCTTCCTTTAGAGCGTTTGAACATGAAAGATGACCTGATTATGCAAAGTCTAACTGAGAAGCAACAGATTTATCTAGAAATGTCTGAAATGAATGGGTTTGAAGACCATTCCCAAGGATCCCGATCTAGGCTACTTCTTCGGGGAGATATCTCAGAAAATCTGCAAGGAGAGGTGATTTTGAAGTCTGCAGTGACAGAAGGTAAATGCAATGTGGGAATGTGTCAATTTAGATGCAGGGGTGGGGATAAGAACATAGGATCTAAGTACAGGCCCTGAAAATCATCCTGGAACAGCATAATACTTTTATGTGACGCTGTTGAGAGTTCCTTATTCTCAGAACCAATCTGTGAGATAGGTAAAGTGCATCTGTGTTTTTAGGTAGAGGACCTTCTCACACCTTGGATTTCTTTTATTTTCAAGGATCAGCCAGTGGAGTCTTATGATGAGTCTATTCAGATGGGTAACTGAGTGCTCTAATAATACACCAGTCCTGACATATAATGCTATATGAGAGTTATGTATTAAAATAGCCTATTTAAACATAGTATATTTAGAAACAAAATAAGCACAAACATAATTTTTTTCAGGGAAAAAAAAAAAGATCAAGCACTCAAGGCTTGATAATCTAACTTGCAATCAAGGAAGAGCTCATCTTTATATGTGTAACACTGAGATCCTGTCTTAAAGAGCTAGTTATAAAGGAAAGTTGATCTGTATTGCAGAAAATCTTTCAAGCTGCCCGAACTTCTAATGCACTTGATAGTTGTATTTATTTTTTTTTAACTCGTTAGCATCATTCACTTATCTTGCTGCATAGACATGGCTGTTTACACGACGTTCTCCTCTTTCCTAGCTGAAAATCTCCAGAACCTTATCTTCACCCACTTAGGCAGTGGATCTTGTCAGCCTGATGATTGCTCTGGGTTGGGACTGCCCAGGAGAGCAGAGACCTTTGGAGGATATGACAGTAGTCCCTCAATTTCAAATAAAAGTAAGAAAGGGACCATTCAACATTCTTCTGGGCTTCTTAGATCTTTACTGTGTTTCTCTGTACAGAGAATGAGATAAGAACAACAAATTAAGTGAGGCTCTAATATAAGGAAGATTCACCAGATTCTAAAAGGAGGACAAGAGCAAATTTCAAGCTTGTATTAGCATGTTGTATCTTTTGCTTCTGATACCAACACTAGAGAGCAGAGTAGGGCTCTTGGTGTTATGCTAAGGGCATTACCTTAACTCCTACTTTCTAATTATCACAATTCCACACAGAATTTTAATTTTGTTGAAAAACTAAACTTGACCTGAAAACCTAGAAAATTTTAATTCAGCTACCTGCTTCTATTATTGAATTGTGAAAACTTTTTTCCACTTCCCTTTTTATTTGTGCAGGCACTAAAAGGTTGCTGAATCCTTAGATAATATAAATTGTCCTTTTGGCACAGATGATTTATCAATTAATGAAATGAGTGGAAATACTAGATACTATTTATCTCCATTTTTGCTTCATGCATTTATTGAAAAATAAAATGGTCTTTATTTCACTGGTTCTTAATCTATAGAATACTTTCTGTTGTCTCTGAAATGCTATGTATGTCTGTCATACGATAGGTACTTCATACAGTACAGTTTCCATCTCCCTCTACCTCCTTCCACGCTTACAGTGGTGCTGCTTTGAATAGAATTTTTCTACTAACAAGTATTCCATGTTACAAGCTTGTAATTCTGGTAGCCACAGATGATCATTTTCATGCACCAGTTGTGGTTGCTTCACTTAAGATAGTATAAGGTAATTTGAACTTACTCTCCTTATTTATCTTAACCTACTCCCCTCAAATTTTTATACTTTCTCAAGCAGTCCTACTGATCACTGTTATCTACTCTTCCACTTTGAATCAGCATGGAGAAGCCATGCAGTTGCATACTGGTTTTAACTTCAAAGTCACAGTTTTTTTCTGCTTGCTCTGTTATGCAGTGAGTCTTCACAGGCTCGGTGTGTGAAGACCTATGTGTGAGCTACACATACTCCACTCTGCTTTCAGGTGGTAGCCTTAGGAAGAACAGTGGTGGCGACCAGAGACAGTGGGACTGGAGAGGCCCTGCAGTAAGTTCAGATGTGCAACTCCATGACGTCCCTTCTGATGCAGAAGAAGGATCTCAAACCGTATGTTTGGTTTGTGCATGATTTAAATGCATTTCCTCATGTTCCTCTTTATACTAGCAGTGCACAGCAAACCTTGCAAAGTTAAAAGTCATAATAGCTGGTAGGGCTAGACTGTAACAGAGCTCTGTCAGATTACTAGACTCTATTACGGATGTTTTGTGGGGCAAGTTGATAGCTTAGCACTTGAGATGCATGATAATTTGGGTTTATGTCTGTTTATTTGATGCTGTACCATTAACGTTAGCTTTAATCACCACCTGGTCTCTGATGTAAGTATTTTTGATACGTGTCGTTCAGTGTATGGGAGAAATCTCTGCTCCAGCAGTAAATGCTGTTCCCTAGTGAGATAAACCCTTCCAACTTGTTCTGGCAGCACGACCAATGTCCAACAAGTGTCTCTAGCACAGGTGTTGGTTTTGTCTTTTTTTACAGACTGATGTGACAAAGCTGGATGACAGCAGTGGTTTTCAGCCCACCATAGAGTCTCAGGTATGTTACTCTGCTGGTAGGAAATCTAATGTCAGCAAATAGCCATATGCTAATAATAACATGCAAAACCAGAACAAACAACAACAAAAAGCACCAAAAAACTCAGTATTTTTATTGTCTGTGGAACCACAAGCACATTAACAGCCTGTACCTTATGACTAACACATTATGAATGTAGAGATAAAAGTCCCATTAGAAAACAAAGATGGGTTCTGGATATGTAGATGTGTGTTTCAAAGAACTGGCTAACTGCTTTTCCTGCATCTTTGGCGGGATTGCATGGTCTCAGCTCACTGGCAAAACTTGCCCCTGAATCTCCCATGAGTGCTATACCTCTGTAGTGATCCAGAGCTGGAGCACGGGAAGAAGAGATCATTAAATAGCTTATATGAAGAAAACGTGATCAGGATTGCTCCCTGGAATCCCAGTGAGATTTGCTGGGCACTCATTTACATCTGTGCAAGGACTAATATACTGAAATTCATTGTACCTGCATACTGCTCTATTTGCTGTTACTCTATTAGAATAGTCTTGCAGCTGTGTGAGTTTTTGTACACATACCATTGATTATGTTCACTGTTTAAAAAGAAAAAAAAAGTCTAATGCATCGAAACAGAGCTCTGTTCTGGTGTCTGACATCTTTTTTCCTCCCACTGCCTCCCCTCCTCTTCAGCTTGTCCAAAGGATACAAACGCTGTTGCAGTTGCTCTTCAGTCTTCAGGTAAACCACTATTTACTATCCAAGGGTTTGCTAGGCATTAAATGTAATAAAATGTATGCAGCTGTGGAGATGAGCTACCTTGAAAATATCCCCTAAAGCTTGAGTGAAGTGTAGAATTTAAGACTTGAGACTCAAGGAAAAAACCCTGTGTCTGATGTTTTGAAGGAAGTGTTAGATCTGTTGTCTTAAGTAATTGTTTCCTTTTTCCCTCTCACTTGCTACTTTGAGCTCCGTCTGCTCTCCTTGCTCATTTCCTCTTAAAATTATTGTTGATATACACGTGTGTAGGTATTAGTTGGTTTTGCCATAACTTTGTAATCAGCAATATTTTGACTGATTAGATTCAGAGTAATAATTCCAGGTACAAGAAAAGTTAATTTTACCATACGTAAGCGTAATGATGGCTTAGCCATCCTCAGCGTCGTGTCAGTCATGATGGGCTGTACAAGCTGGAAGTTAGATCTGCTCTTGAAGACACAAGTCTCTGTGATCTGATCCGGTAGATGGTGGTGTCTTTTGTTTAGGTATGCATGTTTTTTGAACCCACGTGCTTTATGCTGAACTTCTTATTTCCCCTCCAGGCAGTGATATCTCAGCAGGACAGCTACATTGAGATGCAACGAGCTACCATGGTAGACCGGGAGAAGCAATACCGGCTGCAGTCTACACGAGGCAATCTGCTGCTAGAGCAGGAGAAACAGCGGAACTTTGAAAAACAGAGAGAAGAACTGATGAATGTACAGAAACTTCAGAGCCAGCTGAAGCTGGAGCAGCAACGCCTGGAACGGGAAAGGAGTCGGCAGCAGAGGGAATTTGACAGCACTGAAGCTCGGCTGCAGGAGCGTGAAGAGGAGACTCGGCAGCTGAGAGAGAAGTTGAATCAGGAGAGGGAAGAACTTGAGAGGCAGCGAGAGGCCTATCAGCATGACCTGGAGAGACTGCGGGAAGCTCAGAGGGCAGTTGAGAAAGAGAAGGAGCGTCTAGATCAGCTCAGGAAGCTGAAGAAGCAAAACACAGTGTCAGGCACGTTCTCCCCAGAAATGGGACAGGTGAGGAATTCATTTTCTTGGGGTTTTATTTCTGTTAACCTGCTTGCCTCTGAATGAAGGTTGCCCTTTTTGCAGCATTAACCCATGTTTGCTTTTTACCGGGCTCCTTGAACCATCATCTGAAATAGCTGGTGATGGCTACTGTCAGAGAGGTCAGAGCTGGGCAGTTCCCCAGGGTCTGTGAAATTCCATTGGGATATTTGCTAATGAGAAAATTTTTTAGAAAGATAGAGAATAAGTTATTTTTGAAGGTGGCTGATTGAGGATTTTTTTAAGTACAGCAACTACCCTATTGCAGGCAGGTGATTGGAGAAGGTGTGCTACCTTGGTAGCATTTTGTACGGTTGATTCGGGAAGCATTTCTTGTGTTTCAAAAGATGAAGGTTGGGCTCTGATTAAATGGCTCGTTTGTTACTGTCCTGAAGTCCTACTTTCTGTCCATGCTGTCATCACCTAATGCAGTATGCTTGTGCATTCGTTTGCTAGGTACAATATTAAGCAGTCTGGAGCTGCTGAGGTTCTTTTCAGTGTTCAAGGACTTACAATCTTGCCCTTCCTCCTTTTTGCCATCATGCTTTGGGCTTCATCTAGCCTCTTGCTTTTTTCACTAGAAAGTGCTTTAAAAGTGCTGTTTTCAGGGCTGAGGGTGGTCTCTCCTCATTATATATGAGAGGGTGAAAATACCCATTTGACTTAGAATGCCTTTTTCCTCACGTAGAACCAGATGCTAAGTCATTCTGTTAGCTTCAATGGAGAAGGGGTGGAACCACCTCTCCCTGTCTTGAAAACCTCTGTGAGAGTGAGCGTCTCCGGGATGGATTACCTGGAACGGCCGGACTTGGTTCGTAGGGACAGTACCACCCTGGAGAGTCGTCCGGTCCTTGCGCTGAAGAATGAAGTGCCAATACATCTCCTGAGTGCTACTAATCAGATACAGAAACCGGCTGCAGTCCAGCAGCAGATTCCTACTAAGCTGGCCACTTTTACAAAAGGAAGCAAAGAGAAAGGTGGGAAGAACAAAGCATCTCACAGGACAGACAGTTCAGGTAAGTGTGTTCAAATGCATTTCTGATCTGAGACACGACACTGCAGTTTTAAACCTCTGGCTACCAATGGGGGACCCAGAAATGAATAAGCTACAAATTGTTAGTGTGCTTACTGCAGTTAGTAGGCTCTTAAAACCCTTAAGTTAAGAGTTACAGGTGGAAATACAGCCCAAAGAGATAATGCTGAAAATGCAGTTCTGTAATCCCAACAGGATAGAATGATGGCAAGAGGTTGTAAACCTGCATGTAAAATCTTCTTGCCTAGCTGTAGTGTTAACGGAAAATAGCAAAAAAAAAAAAAAAAAAAAAAAAAAAAACCAAACTTGTTCTGCATGAGTGAAATGTTTTGAGGCTGGCTTAACCTTTTCTCACTATCTGTCCAGAGTTGTAAGACACTGAATACAGTGCCTTTCTTAGCACCAGTCAGTCATTAAATACAGATTTCCAGGCCTGAATTGAGATGCTGTGCATGTTGTAGAGTTGAAAGGGGCTAATTTTGTCGAAAATAGAAGCAAGTAAAAATAGTCACCCTGTCATGGTGTAATTTCTGCTGCTAACTGCTAGGTACTAAAGTAGTGATCTTGGCCAATGACAGGCGCAGTAAAAACCACGCTTTCTCTACCACTTAAAATAGCCTTACTGCCATTTTAGGAGAATAACCTATAATTTTAAGTTACAAAATTATCTTTTTAGCTTTGTGTAGGATTCAGACTTGGCAAGCTTACCCATCACTTGGGCCTCCACTACTATAGCAGACTCAGGGCCAAACCTATCTAGGGAGGGGAGGAGGAAGGTCTTTTGCACATTGTAGAAATGTCTGTCTCTGTCATGCCTAAATTTTAGTACAATTGCTAACTTGCTTATGTTTTTGCACATAAATGAAGCCTAATATCCTCTTACCCTGAATACCAAATGCTGGTAAATGGGAAAATGAAGCTCTAATACCACATCTCCTCAAGTTTATTTTTAATAGCTCTTACATAATGATCTCTGCAGTGGAAATTTACTTAATGGTGTTTTTTCTGGAATTTATATGAAAGGTATAAAACACAAATATTTTGGTCTCTATTCTCTCATGAGCATTAGTGGGATGCATGCTTCTTGTGCCCACATATAGATCTTAGAATAAAATGGAACAAGACTTTCTGTACCAGAGGCAAAATTCTGTGTATTGAATTTGGGGTTTGTGACGTGTAAGGAATGTGCACTGCAAGTAGTTCTCTGGATCCAGAGTAGCCGTTTCATTAATTGCTTTTATTGTTGAAAATAAGAAACTGGCAGGCCCTAACACCAGAACTCTGCTGCGGAGCAGCTGCAAGACAGATGGAGAGCAGAGACAAAAGTTCATCACAGTTCTGCATGTTAAAAGTAGCACAAATAGCCATTGCTATTTGAATGCTAGGGACAAAGATTTTTTTTTTTTCCTCTCTTAGGCTGTATAATACTAGGTTTTAAATCTGTGGTGATCAGAGACTGCTAGTAACTGAATTAGAAGTCCTCAAGAAAGAGGAGAGAGAAAGTATTCATGGTCTAAAGAGCTGAAGAGAAAATTTAAGTAACTTGCAGCAGAAGCACCAGCTCTTTGTAGTGTAGCAGCTTCCTTGGGTATGGAAAGGTGTCAGTGCAGTGTGCCCCAGCATGAAATAGTGAAATCTATGCAGTACTGCTAGACTCAAATACTAATCTCTAAAATATTTTCTTTAGCATCTGTTGATCAGAAGCAACTGCTGCCCCCCAGGCTTGCTGGACGAGAGGAAGGTGTCCTGAGGGGCAGACGATCAGCAAGTCCAGTCCTCCCAAGCAGCCAGACAACTGCATTCCAGCCAGGTATGTCTTCACCAACTTGCATGTCCGTGGAAGCGCATCAGGCTCTCTGTGCAGTGTCATGAATGTGTCCTCTCCCATTTTTTTCTATAGAATTGTATGGCCATACAGATGCTCAGCTGGAAGCACTTTCATCTGCCTCAGTGACCCTATTCAAGCCCAGTAATGCTCCCGTTCAGACGCTGGTGACCTCTCAGCCAAGTCCGTTGAATGTGCAAGATGATACCAGCAAAGAAGATGTCATTTTCTTCTAGTTGTTTCCATTTAAAGATTAATCTTCTGCCATGTTGTTTCAAGAACTCAGGCCCCAGTGTTCAACATCACAGAAACCTGACGTGGACGCCTTTTCATCCCTGCCCCATTACTACTAGCAAGGACCAGACCAGGATTACTGTTCTACTTTGTTGGCTTCTCTGCCAGCAGCTCAGAATGAGGGCACAGTAGTAACAATTTGCTTTTAGATTCTCCAAACATGGATATGTATTGACATATATGGTATGGGTATATAAATTCAGAGCATATTCAAATGCTGCCATTTATTGTAATGTGCTCTTTTCAGAGAATGTACACTCTTTGTGGGCACCATCTTGTAAATTGTTATAGTTGATGCTGAACCGCCCAGATTTTTATGTAAAAAGTTTTAGTAGTATGCCCCAAAATGGCTGCAAATTTTTAAATCCTTTTTCACAGGTACATGGTCGGTAATGGATTATGCTGACAGTGTGTTAACAACTAGTTGACTAGCAAGCCAGTCTCCTTACAGCCAGGCAGGACAGACATTGTGGTACCTGCTCAGAGGAGCCAGAACGGTGAATTCAGTGGAGCACACGCTCAGTGGCCAGGTACAGCAGAAGAAAGAAGGTAAGCTTCTTAACAGAGTCTTCAAGGGTCAGGAGCTCCACCTGCTTGTGGATGGGAAGGGTTGGACATGGGAGAATGCACGACGGTAATGAAGAGTTGGACTAAATGCACATTTCCTTGGCCATCAGCTGCACTGGGATACCTGTCTCCTTGGACACATTGGGCAGCTCTCCATGCTAGTGAGAGCAGTGCAGGTTCCCAAGCAAAACTCATGAGTTGGGTCAGAATGAACTTAGGGACTTGGATTTTGTTCTTTGCTGAAGATATGTATAAGAAGCGCTGGAATGCAGTAATTTATTGTCTTGTTTAACCCTGAGTTTTCTGCATCTTCTGTTTGTCTGTTAACTTGTTGGGACTTTACTCCAAGTACCAGAAGATATCAAAGCTGCTGTTACTGCAGAGACTTGTCTGCAGCACTGTGTTAGGAATGAAGGGAATAAGAACTGTTTGGTTTTAAAATTAAAAAAAAATATATTCTTAGCTAAACCTGTGTTGGTTAGCTGCTTACAGCTAAACCAGCTTTGATACCTCTTGTTAAATGGGTCAGTTCTTAATCGTGGAATGGTGATGACATTAAGTGTTCTGCTCAAAAGGCATTATTTCCCTTTGTAGTAATTTGCACAGTCATTTTGTTGTATTATATTACTTCACTCTGTATCTCGGTTCTTTATTACACGCATCACCTAAGGATGTGTGTTCCAGTATATGTTGAATGTGACCAGTCACATATATTGTGCAGTGGAGAGATTGTTTAGAGGGTATTATTACAGAATTAAAGAAATCAGTATCTCGGAGCTTAAAAACTTGGGTTAATACCTTTCAGAACACGATTGATAGTAGTTGTTTTCATAGCTTCAACTCTGGCTTAAAGTGATTTTTAACACCAGTGGATGGAATGCATGGTCAGTTCTCCATCCAGTCGCATGGCAATTTGTCAATCTCCTCAAATCATGCTGTCTCAGTGGTTAGGCCCTATGTGATGATATGCCTATGTTAAGGCAGTAACTTCACTTTGCTTGAAAGTTTCTAATTTCAGTAGTTACAGTGCAGGAAACATTATACATTTTCAGGAGAAAATACAGTTTGTTTTCAAGTGGTGATAATTTGGGTTATTGTCTTCAGACAAGAAACTGAAAAATCCAAATTTACTGGTCAGAGTGAGGGGAGACAGATAAGCTACAAAATACTGAATTGGGCCTAGGGAGCAAGCACTCCTTGCTGCAACACTTCTTGAATTTAAAGGTCGTCATCTTTGAGAAGCAAAACTGGCATTAACCTGAAGCAATGGCCCTGAGTTCAGTGAGAGGAAATGCCAAACCATCTGGCTTGTTACCAGACTGGTGATACTCCCCCACCGCCAACAAATTATTGCTATGAAATTGGACACACTTCACTGTAATACCAAAGGACTTCTTGGTAAAACATCAGTGTTGCAGAATTTATGCAGATTATCAGTGGCTAGATTGGCAGAAAACAGGATGGGGAACACAGTGATTTTTGTATCGTTGTGATCCGATGTTGATGATGGTTGGAACATAGTTCTACATTATATTCATTTTTTGCGTTCCTAAAGGCTAGATAGGAATAGAGAGGAAATCTTCTTAAAATTAATGTATCTTCCGATCAAGCCAGCATGTGAGATCCAGCAGCTCTTTAGGACTGATTTTTCAATCAGCTGATGTGGAGACTCCAGTCATCTCCGATATCCGTGTAATTTCGCCTGTAAGCATACAGTGAAGCAGCAAAAATGCACAGTATGTTCTCTCCTTCGTGCTGTGGTTTGGGCCACTCCTAGCGAACACTCTATGCCCCCATTGTCTTAAAGTACCAGGTTTTTAGGAGTTTTAGCCTGAAGTGAAGTTGCATCAGTGGAATAAACCACCTCAACCAAAGAGGGATGGCTCTGTTTGGGTATTTGAAAACAATTTTTGGAAACATTTATTTGGTTTAATTTTGTGCCAGTCCTAAAGTATGGGACAGAGTGTTCTATGAACTGAAGGTGTTTATTTGGCTACTTTCTTCTTCTGTGCAATGAATGAACTCGGATATGGAACAGTGACATCTAGAAAATAGGCTGCAGTGAGGTCTCATTTCTTTTAATGTTTTAGCTTAAATACTACTGTTTTCATACTTGTCAGCAGTACTTCGTATAATTTCTGGCTGTTAGCAAATGGACCCAGGACCGCTACAGGCTGGGCTGTTGGTTCAGCACCTCAAAAGCTCTGTGGAATACAGGTCTTCAATCTGTAACTGAGAAATTACCTTAAAAATCATTATCTGTCCCCAATACACATGTCTAGCTGCATCTAGCTTTATGAAAACTGTTTTCACCCTGAATAGAGACGGCAACTCCTTTCACTTGGGTCAAAACCATTTAAGTGCCATAGTTGGTATTCATGTGGCTTCCTGTTCAGTACTGTGCCTAGCTTGGGGAAGGCTTTAGAATCAGCAAATGCTGTGATATCTCCTTGCTGGTGCAGAGTTTACCATACCAGAGTATGGTAAAATTATTTGTAGGAGGCTGAGGGAAGCAAGTGAAAGATTTTTTTTTTTTTTTTTTTTTTTTTAAATAGATAATGGGTCATCTCTTCACTTCTGCAAAACTGAATCTGTGAAATTGTTATCAAATCACTCCAGTTGAGTGAACTAGTTTTGGACTCTTTACTCAAGTTTTACTCCTAGAAAAATAACTCTTATAGGCAAATTAGATTGAAAAATACTGCTGTGTCCTGAGCTAAGTAACCTGCTATTGATTCTGAGTAATATGCTTTCCATTTGGTTTTTTGATTACTTCAGATAAAAGTTTCCTTTTAAGTGATATCTGAGGATTAGACCATTCAAAATTCTGTGCCTCCCAGGTGCCTTTTGGCTTCTTTCTGAGCTGGGGTGTGGAGGAAATTACAGCACGAGCTTTGAACTGCCTTCTTTGCTTTGCTTCGTGTCATGGCCTTAAAATGATTGTCACGTTTGTCCTTTAATATTGTGATGTTGCGATGTAGAGGCTGTTTCTATGGTTCTGATTTTCAATTTTCTCTCTGGTGTAAAGGATGCTTCCTCTTTCCCTGCCCATCTGGAATATGGTCATTTTGTATTTCAGACTGAGGATCCCTCTGTGTTCACTAGTACTGAGCACATCTGCCCTGTGTGTATTGTAAATGCTTTCCTGGTTTTTAACTGTGCTATCTGTGAATTGTAGTTGTGGCATGTCCCACAAATTGAGATCGCTAATCATTTCCCAATGTGAGGCAGAAGAATCGGTATTTCTAGAGATGCTTGCTCATCAAGGTAGTAACATTCCTGCAAAGGTAGGAGTACTTCTGAATAATTTGCGGACAGTTTTTGTCTTTCTGACTAATAGTCAGATGATCCTGCATATATGGAACTTGGTGTTTGTCATTTGCATTTACAATGGAAGTTGAAACTTAAACTAGGAGAGGGTTAAAAGTACGTTTTTCGTTTCACTTGTACTTTCAACCTTGCAGAATAGGAGCTAAAGTTCCACGGTGCTGCTCAGTGGAGTCCCTGTGTGTTGTGCCCCTGTGCAAGGGAATTTGGAGCGTTTTGTTGTCTTCCCCAGCAGTTCTCGCATTTACAAGAAGAAAAAAATCTTGGCGCCAGGTTACACATGTGCTATCTTTGCCTGACTTTCTTGCTGAATTGGTAAAAGAAAGGCCTTTTCCCCTGCTCTCTCTTTCGAGGCCAGACCCAACATCTTTGTAACCACTGGCAGTTCTTTATCATCTACCATCAGCGTGTTATTCATCGAATACCATTTGTGTGAGCTCTGGTTCATACCATTTGTGCCATGTTTATAAATCAGTTTTTTATATTTTTGTACTGAAAGAATTGGAGCACTTTAGATAAGTTTATTTCAAATTCCATTTCTGCTTGTACCTGGAAGGAAATCTCTCATGCAAGTAGATCCTGTTGGCATAACTGCGTGCATCTCACTCAGAGCTGTGAACTCTCTTGATGCTCTTTAGTCTTAGGTCTGGTTTCTAGGCCCACCTTGCACTGTAAAGATTTAATAAATAATCATGGTCCATGGTTAAATTGACCATTTTGTTGGGGAAGCGTTTGGTTTTGGTTTTTGTTAGGGTGTAAACATTGTAAATAATTCCTTTACTGTTGATACTGCAGTAGCAACATCTTTGTAGTCTTTATTTTATTTGTAAAGTTGATGGTTAAATGTTAATATTCTGTTGAATTGTGCACTCTTGATTAATTGTAAACTTGATCTTAGCACACCAAATGATTTTTACAATGATTGCAATGTTTCTCCACTGAAGGATTTCAGAGCTGCAATAGGACTGAAACCAACTTCTAGCAATAAAAAAAAAAAAAAAAAAAAAATTAAAAACTGACTTCCTTTATTTATTATTTTCTGTTTGAACTGAAGATCAAAGCAGCAGCCGCTTCCCACATGCTTCTCATTTTCTACCCTGGACAGAAATAAGGTGCCATATGAACAAAAGTCTGCCGGTTTTCCCCAGGAGAGGACGGAGCACAGGAGGTGTTAAGTGGAGGATACCAGTAGCTGCAGACCTTGCCAGTGAGGTGAGCACGCTAGGAAAAAATCAGCTGGTCTCAAAATGTCTGAACTCATTATGCTAGTGAGAGAGTGAACTTAACAAAGTTGCTTATATTAGCCTGTAGGTACTTTGTGTGGTGCCAGTCTGAGACATGCCTGGCTCTGTCCCAGACAGTATCGGTTCCCATTTGGAACAAGTATAACAAAAATAGAAACTTTCTCCCTAGTGCTTGTGCCAATTTGGCAGCCCGCGCTCCCAGCACCATCCCATAGCCTCTGGCTGGTGCAGTGCTTCCCAGCTCCAGAGTCAGCAAGTTGTGTTTCCTGGTAAAATCCCCACTTGTGGCATCCTGGCAAGCAAGCCCAAAAACTGTAGCCTCGAATAATTTCTAGAGATTAGAACAGATGCAAAACTGGGGAGAGAGTGAGAGAACTGGGGCTTGGATCAGTACTCACAAAGGAAGAGGTTTGGTTTTTACCACCAGAATCCTCTGCTGTAGCCAGCATTGAGGAAAACCCTCCGCCAGTTTTGGATGGGACTGTGCCAGTGGTGCAGACTGGCCGCTTTGCACAGCACTCAGTCTTTGTGTCTGTCAAAGCGTCTTTGGAGGACCCAGGTCCTTTGTACAGGAGTCAGTAGAACACAGTCTGCATTTTTCAGTCCCTGAAGTGCGGCTGACATCTGGGTTGCGGCACAAACTGGAACTCAGTTGGAAAAACACAAGTTTTTCTACTTTTCTAACCTATGTAAATAATCAAAAACTTCCAGACACACCAGTGTTTAAAATACAACTTGATCTTTATGGGAAATAACGGACTGATGTGTTAGTGAATGGAGTTTTAAAGTAAGTGTGTGTGTGTGTGTGTAAGCTTTTGCTTGCAATTCCTTTGAGAGAATATTTCTTACATCTGCTTCTGCTCAGCTTCCAGGGAGCTGAGCTGCAGCGGCCGCTGGAGGTCACTGCCTCTGTGCGCTTTCAGACTGCACCGTCTGTCACAAGGCAAGTAACTTCATCTCCATTTATACATATTTTCCAGCAGCAAGAAATGGAATTAAAGTGATTTTATGGGGGACAGCTGAGAGGGACAGTCTAGGACCAAAGTTACAAAGAGCTGCTTCCAGAGCAGTGGGTTTAATTTTTATTTTCTAATTGCACTGTACTCTTTTGCAGCCATCATCCTTTGTCAGACCAGTAGGAATTGTTTCTAAAAAGACAGAAGGATCAGGGAGCTCCAGGGTTAATGTAGCCAAGAGGGATCCCTGCAGCACAGGTTCCCACTGGGAACTGCCCAGCAGCAGCAGCCCGGAGCTCAGCAGGGGCAAGTTTAAATCTTGGGCAGAATTTGCATCTGTTGGAAGTTTAGTGCTGGTGCAGCCATCAGTGTTCAAAGGAGCGTGGGTGTTCCTGTGTTAGGCTTTGGTTCTTGCCGCAACAGCAGGTCAGAGGTTCCTTTGGTGCTTGCAAACCCCCTGACTGACAGTATCATTGATAATGCTGTCGCTGGTCTGTGAGGCACAGTCTTGGTTTTTCACAAGGGTGTGATTTCAGGAGAGGGTGTGATTTCAGGACGGTGGCGGTGCCTTCAGAGCTGTTAACTTGCTCATACCAGTATTCCAGCAGCTCCGCCCTGCCTTGTCTCCCTTTAAAATCTGTAGCTAATTAACCCGAAACCCAAACCACATTCTTTCTATGTGGATGAATCATTCGGAGGCCATAGGCAATGACCAGCTTTATGCTAAATCTTCCTCTTTCATGTGGGTGAGACACGGCTGATGGTTCCCATACGTGCATCTGAGATTCATCCCCAAGCCAGATGCTTGAGGACAAACACGCACAAAGGATATTGGCTCTGCAGTGTGCTCTGACAGTGGGAATGTGCTGTTTTCTGCCTTTCCCTTTCCTCACCCCTGTGACTCAAATCCGGTTTAATTTCTCATCCCAGCAATGGGGCCAGCCCAGGGCTCCGCAGACAAGGGACGTGGGGCCTGTCCTTGTGTGGTGCCTGCATTGTTTGCTGCTTCTGGGCCCGTGGGATCTGGCAGAGGATAAAAGCCAAACCCTCTCGGAGCTGGCAGTGCTGGAGCGTGCGACGCACGGTTCCTGGCTCTGGGACAGTGTCTTATGCACAGGAGGCTCAAACAGGGCAGGGATCGCTTTGTTACGGGACTCTGGTACACAGGAGCATGAAAAATCCTCGCTGAGCAGGGCAACGTAGATGTGCCTGTCCCACGGCAGAGCAGCAGTCGGTGCCTTTTCATGGTGTGGGGCGCAGCGTGTCGCTGGACCTGGACCCATCCCGGGTGACTGCGTGTGATATGCAGATCAGTCAGGGGATTTCAGACAGGGGACATGTGTAATGTCCTTTCTTCCCTTCTAGAACATTTGAAGTCACGGACAAAAACCACACTGTAGGGTGTAGTTAGTTAGTTAGTGTTTTGTTTTTCCTGGGCTGCCGTGAATTGTCATTGTGACAGCAGCGTGTATGCCAGTTCCTTGCTAGATGTGTGCTGGGTGCACTGCAGAACATTTCAAGGATCCATATCCAATCTTAGCCAGAAAAGGGAATTTCTCAGTTAATGCTGTTCTGGTTTTTTTTGTGACTAACAGCACTGGCCATCCATGGCGGAGAAGGGGAAAAGGCTATGGGCTGCCTTGGTATACCAGCAGCACCTACGAACACAAGAACCAGTATAGTTCACTGAAAACCATCGCGGGCTGTGTATCTTGTGGCCAGGAGGGAGGTGGGTCAGTCTAATGTTGTATTTCTCTGGCTGGCGTTGAGAAGACTTTCAGGCTTTGTGTGAGAAGAGGAACATCGCATGGGCGAGCGATGTCACACTCAGATTGTTTTGGCTTTGAGCCTAGCGATGCCCATATGTGTTCCCTGTTATAGATGTGATCGTGGGCTGGGGTCTAGCTGGAGCAGAGCAGCCATGAAGTGGGGTTCTGGGGTAGGAAGAGAGGCCTAGGTTTGAGCTATGTTGAGGTACTAAATTCGTTCTATTAATTCAGGAGGATTTCTGTCCCAGTAACCAAA